CGGAACTGCGTCCAGAATTGGTGAAACTTATGCCCGGGGGGAGGAAATCGCAAAGCCTTGCCGCGATGTACAGCGAAGCGAAAGTATGACCACAAGAGTTCTTAAACTTTCCAAGTTACGAAACTGTAAGAAACACACCTTTAGGGGAAATGTTATGCTCTAGGCCTTGTTTATTACTGCACACGAGTTGACTTCAAAAAAACGACGGGACAAATTCAATCCGGGAAATCAGTGTCCAAAGCAAACACAACCCTGAAGCATCAATGTCGAAACCGGTACCGACCCTGAAAAATCAGGGTTGTGTTTCGTACCAACCCTGACATAACGTTTTTTTTTTCCAAGTCGACACTGATCAATCAAGGTGGTTCATCAAAACCAATCTGGGGGCCTGTTGCCAAGGCAGGATTGGCAATGTGTGTGGCTAATGGGAAATCCGAGCAGTTTCATGTGTCCCTTTTTTAGGGCTTTTAGTTGAGGGTACATTTGTACATGGGGGTGCTGCTAGCTCAAGGTTGGTGGGCCTCTAGAATATGGCAAAAACAGACCAACATCATTCTACATGCTGTTTCCATGTTACATGTATGGTATATGATTGTTTGTAAACAGCAGCTGATGTCATGGCTTTTGTTTACACCACACGGTGCAAGTAGCACCCTAAACCCCAACACATGACCACACCTCTCCCCATACAGCCTTCCTCCAATCCCCATACGGCCATCCTCCATCCCTCATCCCACCCTCCATTCCGCCTCCAGTGACCGTCCTTTTCGCCACCTGTCTCCCAATCCCCCCACCACTCCCCCTCCTGTTACGCTCTTTTCCCCTTGCTGTCATCCTCCTCTCCCGCTCTGGTCTCCTCCATGCTGAGTGCATACAGACACTCTCCTTTCCCCCAACAATTCCGAGCTGGTTCACCCCTGGGTCAACCCCATACCCCCATCAAGTCTCCCCCCACTCCCCCTCCTGTCACGCTACCATGCTCTTCTGCTCACATGCTGCCAATGCTCCCATGCTCCCGTGCTCCCCATACTCCTCCTATGCACCCATGCTCCCGTGCTCCCGTGCTCCCGTACTCCCATGCACCCCATGCTCGCATGCAACACCATGCTCCCATGCTCCCATGCTCCCCTGCTCCCATGCTCCCGTGCTCCCAGGCTCCCCTGCTTGCGTGCTCCCCATACTTCTCCCATGCACCCATGCTCCCATGCTCCCGTGCTCCCAAGCTCCCATGCACCCCATGCTCCCATGCTCCCATGCTCCCCTGCTCCCATGCTCTCATGCTACCATGCTCCCATGCTCCCCTGCTCCCATGCTCCCATGCTCCGATGCTCCCATGCTCCCATGCTCCCATGCTCCCATGCTCCCGTGCTCCCAGGCTCCCCTGCTTGCGTGCTCCCCATACTTCTCCCATGCACCCATGCTCCCATGCTCCCGTGCTCCCAAGCTCCCATGCACCCCATGCTCGCATGCAGCACCATGCTCCCATGCTCCCATGCTCCCATGCTCCCCTGCTCCCATGCTCCCCTGCTCCCATGCTCTCATGCTCCCATGCTCCCATGCTCCCCTGCTTCCATGCTCCCATGCTCCCATGCTCCCAAGCTCCCATGCACCCCATGCTCGCATGCAGCACCATGCTCCCATGCTTCCATGCTCCCCTGCTCCCATGCTCCCCTGCTCCCATGCTCTCATGCTCCCATGCTCCCATGCTCCCCTGCTCCCATGCTCCCATGCTCCCAAGCTCCCATGCACCCCATGCTCGCATGCAGCACCATGCTCCCATGCTCCCATGCTCCCATGCTCCCATGCTCCCCTGCACCCATGCTCCCCTACTCCCCTGCTCCCCTGCTCCCATGCTCCCATGCCTTGTTGCACTGCTCCAGCTAGAAGAACCCTCGCAACATTTCTGTGAACGATCAAGAAATACATCCACTTGCGCAGATAAAAGGCGGGTTTTGGAAAAAACAAATCAACATGCGCAGAAATATACACTCGCACTACACTATGACTCCTAACAGAAGCCGTTGTCACATACCCGCTTAAACAACGCAGATGCACTGGAAGTTTGTCGAAGCCCTCACGTTGGATGCACGATGCTTCGCTCTAAGGTGAGTAGAAATCACTGCGTACACACGACGAACAGAATCAGGGAATGCATAGGGCACCACGGCATGGGGCATCAGATAGAGTATGGAATACTGAGGCATGCTGAACAGAAACTCAGGGCTCGCGTGGTACTTCTAATAGAAGGTCTGAACTAGAATATCAGGGCGAAGTGCTTGTGAAAGAACGGAAACAAAAGATCGCAGATGGAACGGCATCAGGATATAGATTGGGGTTTGAGAGGCTTCAGTTGTGAGTTTATCCGTGAGTACGCGTAGTACTCACAGCTTCGTGCCAAAGCTTTGGGCCGTAGACAGTGCGCCCGAAAGAACTTTGTTTCGTCAACTTTCAAGTCTCTCATGTACAAAAACTCAGGGCTCGCTGCAATATAAACCGAACTTCTGACTTCATCTAGTGCACGCGACAGTATATTGCATGCCAGCCGTCCACGCCCTGGCATATACTCTATGGGCGCGAACTACGACAGATGGTTGGCTGGCGCTCGAGAGTGGTTCAATATGCAATGCTCTCATTGGTCAACCTGACCCATCACTTTCATACCCCGTTTAACAAGCTCCGTCAAACACATCAACTTTTTTCGAACCAGCTCCATATATCCCTTGTTTCAGTAGTGTACCCTCGAACCAGTCAAACGAGAGTTCCGGACCTCGCGTCGAGACTTGCTATTGGTGCTGAAGAAAGTCGTGGCACGGGCCGAAGCATCACTTCAAAACAGCAATCGCGAAACAATTTTTGATTGCTCCGTTTTGTCGCGAAAATATGCGGACTTCTTGGGAGCAGTAACAGTTTCGCCCCACCACAAACTAACTTGCGTCACTCATGTGGGGAACTTGGGGGCATCAGAGGGGCCGTCACCTGTGGGTAACCCACCTTCTTGTCAGCGATTCATGGGCGAGAAATTTGGGACAGTGTCTTGGACACTTCGTGAAAGGCAGGTCAGCTATGTGCGGTGCTTACACTGGCTGCGTTCTACAGGCACGAAAGGAAAGTGCAGATTACATCAGAGCACCTTCCGAAAGCGAGAGATTTTGCTTCGGATCGAGGGTCAGCCCGCAAATTTTCACCCAAACCTGGCACAAGGTACCCGAACCTAGTTACATCGACATGCCTGCAGAACGGGTCCATCCACAGATGACATCTACGTCAGGGAAACACCCTCCTCGCTTCCCTCCCTGGCAAGTGTACTAGGCCTCTACACTCCAAAAATACAACCACCACCACTTTACCCCACCTCGCGAACTTGGGCCTGCCCTGCAAAAAAACAGCAGCTGGACTAATCCATCGCCAAAGAGAGTCCTATCGAGGGCATCTCAACAAACCCTAGGTTCTTTTTTCGTCATTTTGCCCCAGAATATTTCTCAACTGCACGGGGACAGCAGGTTTTTGTTGCGCAGTTTTGAAATTCGCTCCTCTCTCCTTTCGCTTACGCTTTCCACAATTTGGGAAAGTGCACCTGGTTTGGGTGGTAACCAGTGCTCTCGAAGTCGCTTGAGGAGCTTCCTCGATGCCTGTAGAACTCAGCCACTGCCTTCAGTGTGGTGGCGCTCGGCTGGGTTATGCACACGGAAAGTCTTTAAATGTATGCGCGCAGTTTCAAGTTTTCTTCCGCCCAAACGCTTTGTGTGTCGGGGGCAGGGCCGGATTCGGCAGGGGGTGGCGCACGCGCGTCAATTGTTTCCCGACCTTTGGCGTGCGACAGTGGTTTCTGCTCTCGCTTTGGGGAACAAGGTTACCAATCTGGGGGGGTTCAAGGTTAATGAATTTGAAACTCAATTTCTGCTATTTGGGTTAACGGCTTTAAACTCGCGAATTTTGTTGGACTTCAGGATTGATGCTGCCCCGAACATTATGGCGGGCCCCTAAGGGTCTTGTGTTTTTTTCCCACTAGTAACATCTGCTCAAGGCGAGGTCTATACCTTCTGTAAACAGCACCTGGCTCATTGTTTCCTCCAGAAGGAATTGGAGTAGCGCTCGAGCAGGGGGACAGGAATTGATTGCTAGAGGAGTTCAACTTGCGATTCGCAACCTTTTTGTCATTCCGTCACCTAAATTTCTCATCACCATGTCATTAGGGCGTGTGGCCAAAATTTGTTGCGCAAAAAAAACGCACTCAACCGTTCAAGAAATTTATTTTACCTTTCTAGAACGTTAGTTATCTTGAACCGCAATCGGACGTATTTTCACTGCAGTCATGGCCAATGCCATCCTGCTCCGCACCGCCAATGTCAGACTTTTGCCAAAGTTGGCACGCTTCCCCCCCTTCCCTCCCCCCTATTACAGAACCCGCCTCCCTACTTCCGCCATTGTCCGCTTACCGTCCGCCCGCGCGCACAGTTTGTCAGGCCGAATCGCAAGCAGCACACTTCACTGACGTCACCTCCTCACCTTCACTGTACCGTAGATAGAGAATGCCACATGCAATGCCACGCAATGCTCTTCCTCCCATCCCTCTGCCCTTCCCCTGCTCCTCTCCTCCTCTCCACCCCTCCCCTCCCACCTCCCCTTCCACTTCTCCCCGCTCCCCCCTCATCCCCTGACCCGCACGCGCCTCGTTTCCCAACGGCTTCCTCTGCACCAAGCCACCTTCACGCCAACACCCTCGCCCTTCCCCTCCCCCCCCCCCCCACCACCATCACAATGCCCTCCCATTTCCCCCTACTTCCCCAAGCTTCCAATGGTTCTGATTTTGGGACGTTCTGTGTAGTTCAGTTTGGTGTATTGTGGTTTAAGCGCGGTGCTGCGCGGTACACAAGAACCACGTCTGGTGGTTATGGGCAAACGGAATTCGCCAGTTTCACTTCGCCCAACTCCGCCCAACCGGGTGAATTGGAACAGTTGTCACAACTGGCCTGTCATTCGCGGCTTGATGGCAGGCAGAACTGATACAGTAGACCAAAGTTCCTGGAATCTTAGTGTTATAGCTCCTGGAATCTAGTGTCGACGCGGGAAGGTATCTAAAGGAAGTCATTCACTGGTGCAGGTCGTTTCGTTCGCAGCTCCGCTTCTAGGTCTCGAACGCATTTGTTTCTTATATCGTCGTAGTGTGACAGGAGAGCCTTGAGATACCATGCAGGTGCACAGGCGGAGATAACGATCGGCCGTAGTGCCTTTACAGACAGCGGGTTTTGTTATTCCTCGTCGGAATCTCGTTCCTGGCACGACTAGTGCCGAGACGATACAGGGATGACGGGCCTCTTAGACAGAATACGAAGGCTTTTCAGGAAGCCCGAGCAGCGGGAGGACCGGCTCTTTTACATTAACGATGCTGAGAGTAACGAGGATTTTGTTTTCAGCAGCAATAAGATCGCGACGACCAAGTACACTTGGTACACCTTCATTCCCCGCGGTCTCTTCGAGCAGTTTCGACGGGTAGCCAACTTCTACTTCCTCTTCAACGCCATTATTTCCCTGACGCCTCTGAGTCCCGTCATGCCCATCACCACCATCACCCCTCTCGTCTTTGTCATCGGCCTCGCCATGCTTAAGGAGCTCTGGGAGGATATTAAGCGCGGCGCGTCGGACTACGAGACGAATAAGCGGAAAATCCGCGTGATTCTTCCGGACGGGTCGGAAGCGATGCGGGAATGGAGGGAGTTAAGAGTCGGGGATATAGTGCAGGTTGAAGGTGATACTTACTTCCCCGCAGATTTGATATGCTTAGCCAGCAGCAGCGACGACGGCTCGTGTTACGTGGAAACGATGAATCTGGACGGAGAGACTAATCTTAAGTTGCGGAAGGCGCTACACGAGACGTACGCGCTAGACGGTTCGCAGCTCGCGAGATTGAGAGGCACTGTCGAGTGCGAGCACCCTAACGTCTCTATCTACACATTCACGGGGAAGATGCGCCTCGAGGGCCTTCAGGAGACGCCTATATTCCTTTCGCCGACTAATATCCTCCTTCGCGGCTCGAAGCTAAGAAACACGCGGTTCGCTGTCGGGCTGGTGGTCTACTCGGGCCGCGAGACGAAGATCATGATGAACGCCACGGATCCGCCGTCCAAGCGAAGCTTCGTGGAAAGGCGGCTGGATTACGTCATCCTTTTCGAGCTCGTCCTCATGCTAGCCCTAGCAATCTTCCCTGCGGCCGTTTTTGCGGCGAGATTGCCGTACCAGGAGGAGCATATGTGGTACCTGGAGCTGGACCAGAACAGCCAGCTTACAGGGCTTAACAAGGCGCAGTATAACGCGAACAACCCCGCGCTGGCAGGCGTTCTGCAGTTCTTCACGTGCCTCGTGCTCTACGGTAAGGCCACGGTGCTCTATGGTAAGGCCATGGTGCTGTATGGTAAGGCCATGGTGCCATGGTGCTCTACGGTAAGGCCACGGTGCTCTATGGTAAGGCCATGGTGCTGTATGGTAAGGCCATGGTGCCATGGTGCTCTATCGTAAGGCCATGGTGCTCTATGGTAAGGCCATGGTGCTCTATAGTAGACCGCTCCCTGTGGATCTCATGCCCCGCCCTTCACCTCATCCCCTTGCATTCCTTAGCTGTGACTCTTCCCTTTGCATCCCTTAGCTGTGACTCATCCCCTTGCATTCCTTAGCTGTGACTCATCCCCTTGCATCCCTTAGCTGTGACTCATCCCCTTGCATCCCTTAGCTGTGACTCATCCCCTTGCATCCCTTAGCTGTGACTCATCCCCTTGCATCCCTTAGCTGTGACTCATCCCCTTGCATCCCTTAGCTGTGACTCATCCCCTTGCATCCCTTAGCTGTGACTCATCCCCTTGCATCCCTTAGCTGTGACTCATCCCCTTGCATTCCTTAGCTGTGACTCATCCCCTTGCATCCCTTAGCTGTGACTCATCCCCTTGCATTCCTTAGCTGTGACTCATCCCCTTGCATTCCTTAGCTGTGACTCATCCCCTTGCATTCCTTAGCTGTGACTCATCCCCTTGCATTCCTTAGCTGTGACTAAATCCCTTGGATTACGCCCTTCCTAGTCTTCCCGTGCCTTGCCACTCTTTCGTCCCTCTCCTCTCATCCCACCTGTGTGTCCTCGTCTCATGCACATGCAGCTTACTTCGTGCCCATATCGCTGGATACGTGGCGCTGGAGATCGTGAGCTGCTGCCCGCTGTTGAGACGCTTCTAAAGGCTGTCCCCCTTTGACCATCCCCGCCCGCGTGTGTGCGCCTGTTTGCATGTGTGTGTGCGTATTCTCACATGCAGGCTACTTTGTGCCCATCTCGCTGTACGTGACGCTGGAAATCGTGAAGCTGCTGCAGGCAGTCACCATCTCGTTCGACCTGCACATGTACTACGAGGAGAAGGACATCCCCGCTATTGCACGCACCTCTAACATCAACGAGGAGCTCGGCATGGTGAGGAGAGGTAGATGGCATGGTGAGGAGGCATGGTGGGGGGAGGTAAATGGCATGGTGAGGAGGCATGGTGGGGGGAGGTAAATGGCATGGTGAGGGGGCATGGTGGGGGGAGGTAAATGGCATGGTGAGGAGGCATGGTGGGGGGAGGTAAATGGCATGGTGAGGAGGCATGGTGGGGGGAGGTAAATGGCATGGTGAGGAGGCATGGTGGGGGGAGGTAAATGGCATGGTGAGGAGGCATGGTGGGGGGAGGTAAATGGCATGGTGAGGAGGCATGGTGGGGGGAGGTAATTAGCATGGTGAGGGGGCATGGTGGGGGGAGGTAATTAGCAAGGTGAGGGCATGGTTGGGGGAGATAAATGGCATGGTGAGACATGAATACTGGGGAAGGAGTAGGGGGGAGATCGTGAAGAAGGATGGTGGAAGTAGGGTAGTGGGTCAAGAGTGGTGGAAATGGCAGGAGGCAAATGACAAGCGAAGGGAGGCAGTATGAAGTCTTGGCTGCATCTAACCTTCGTCTACACACCGACCCCACCTTCCCTCCGACCCGCCGTTGCCTATGTACATCAGGTGCGCACAGCCCTGTGGTGTCAACCCACAACCAGATGGATCTCCTCAAGTGCTCCATTGCAGGGCCCTTGCAACGTCTGCGGGTGTTTCAGGGCCCAACACCCTTCATTCCCTCCTTCCCACCTGTCTGCCCCCACCAGGTGCGCACAGTGCTGTCGGACAAGACCGGCACGCTAACGCGCAACCAGATGGAGTTCTTCAAGTGCTCCATAGCCGGCGTCCCCTACGGCATGGGCGTCACCGAGGTCGAGAAGGCCGCCGCCCAGCGTGCAGGCCGGCCTCCCCCAGAAGAGGACGAAGAGGACGAGCAGGTGTACCTCCCCGAGCGCCCCCTGGAAAAGGGGTTCAACATGCGGGACCCGCGGCTGGACGGCATGAAGTGGGTGGAGCAGCCCAGTGCGGACGACATCAGGAGGTTCCTGGAGGTGCTGTCCGTGTGCCACACGGTGGTGGTGGATACAGCCCCCGTGGAGCGCGCTGCCAGCAGCAATATCTTCGCCATGGGGTCTGGTGGGGGGCCGGGGGCGGGCGTTTTGGGGCCTGGGGAGGTGGGGAATGGGGGAATTACAGGGAGTGGGTCAGGTGGGGTGGATGTAGGGGCGAGTCTTGGGATGAAGGGCAGCAGCAGCAGCCTGAGTCTGGCCAGTGCAGGGTCTGCGAATGCCAGCAGGGGAGTGAATGGAGCAGGAGGGGGAGGGGGAGGGGGAGGGGGAGGGGAGACGCCGCTGTTACCGCAGGGCGAGGAGGCGATGGACGCGGATGCGGTGCGCTTCCTGGCGGAGTCCCCCGACGAGGCGGCGTTTGTGGTGGCGGCGAAGCGGCTGGGGTTCCTGTTCCTGGGGCGGCAGGGCAACGAGCTGAAGGTGCGGGAGTATGGGAGTGGGTGGAGCGTGGTGCACGACCGGCCGTATGAGCTGCTCAACACGCTCGAGTTCACCAGCCACCGGTGAGTGCCTGGATGGGGACCTCTCAGGTCGCGAGTGGACTGGGACCGGTCGTATGAGCTGCTGAATACTCTGGAGTTTAGTGCCGCGGACTTGGAATGAGTTCACCACCGGTGAGTGTCGCAGTCCCTATACTGCCGGGGCGCCTGACAAGGTGCAGGACCGGTCGTATGAGACGGGTGGAACGAGGTGCAGGTGTGACCTGTTCAACACTCGGGGGCTCACCAGCCACCGGTGCGTGTCACCAGTGCGTGTCACCTCTCTTTCATTCAACTATCTGTTTCTTTCTTTCCCTATTTCCCCTCCCAAACCAACCTCTAACAACACCTCTCCCCCCCACCCCCCCCTCTTCCGCCTCCCAGTCCCCCTTCCCCTTGGCCCTTACTCCCCAATTTTTTTACCCCGCCTTTTTTGCCTTACTCTTTTACCTCACGCTTTTGCCCCGCCCTTATACCCAACCCTATCCACCTCCCCTTTCCCCACCCACTTACACTTTTACCCGCATGTTTCCTCTCTGCTTCGCCCTGCCCACCCTTTTATCCCGCCCTTATCCCCACGCCCTTCCGCCCCCCTGTCTGCTCACAGCAAGCGCATGAGTGTGGTGGTGCGTACCGCCAGAGGGGCGCCTGCTGCTGCTGCTGTGCAAGGAGGCAGACAGCATTGTCATGGAGCGAGTAGGAGGCACTGCCTCCCGTCTTGGACTGCGTCTTCCCACCCGTCCGCCCCACCCTTGTGCCCAATCCTTGCACGTTTCCGTTGCTCCCCTACCCCTTGTTGCTGTGCCTGCCTGCAGCAAGCGCATGAGTGTGGTGGTGCGCGCGCCAGAGGGGCGCCTGCTGCTGCTGTGCAAGGGGGCAGACAGCGTAATTCTGGAGCGGCTGGGCACCACCGAGCAGGCCCAGAAGTACCGGCCTATCACAGAGCGCCACATGACCATGTACGCAGAGGCGGGGCTGAGGACGCTGGCAATAGCGTGGAGGGAGGTGGGCGAGGAGGAGTACGCTGCGTGGCAGCAGCGGTGGGTGGAGGCGAAGGGGTATGTGGCGGACGCGGCTGTGCAGGCAGAGAGGCTAGAGGAACTGGCGGAGGAGCTGGAGAGTGGGCTCATCCTGGTGGGCGCCACGGCCATCGAGGACAAGCTGCAGGTGAGATGAGGTGGTTCATCTAAGTGAGACATGAAACTGGCTAATACTGGCAGAGGAACTGGAGAGCTTTTCTGCACTGTCTCTTTCTGTGTTCCCCCATTGCTCTTCTCCCTCTCCCCATTCTTCACCCCTCCTGCCCCCTTCTTCAAGTCATCGAGTCCCTGGCTCGAGACAGCCATCATCATCGGCCTCGCGCTCCTCCTTCCTTCCTTCCTTCCTTTCTTTCTTTCTTTCTTTCTTTCTTTCTTCCTTCCTTCCTTTCTTTCTTTCTTTCTTTCTTTCTTTCTTTCTTTCTTTCTTTCTTTCTTTCTTTCTTTCTTTCTTTCTTTCTTTCTTTCTTTCCCTGTCCTTAGGCCAGTGTGCCTCCAGTCATCAAGCCTCTGACCCAAGGAGGCATCAAGCTGTGGGTGCTGACAGGGGGCAAGCTGGGGGCAGGCATCAACATCAACCTTGTATTCCTCCTTTCTTTCTTTCTTTCCCTGTCCTTAGGCCAGTGTGCCTCCAGTCATCAAGCCTCTGACCCAAGGAGGCATCAAGCTGTGGGTGCTGGCAGGGGGCAAGCTGGGGGCAGCCATCAACATCAACCTTGTATTCCTCCTTTCTTTCTTTCTTTCCCTGTCCTTAGGCCAGTGTGCCTCCAGTCATCAAGCCTCTGACCCAAGGAGGCATCAAGCTGTGGGTGCTGGCAGGGGGCAAGCTGGGGGCAGCCATCAACATCAACCTTGTATTCCTCCTTTCTTTCTTTCTTTCCCTGACCGCAGATCGGTGTGCCTCAAGCCATCGAGTCCCTGGCCCAGGCGGGCATAAAGCTGTGGGTGCTGACGGGCGACAAGCTCGAGACAGCCATCAACATCGGCTTCGCATGTAGCCTGCTCAGGCACCACATGCGGCAGCATCTCGTGTTCCTGGAGGATAACGAGGCGGCTACGAAAGAGGCTGCCAGGCGGGGCGTGCCACTTAAAGAGGTGACGGGAGGGTGTGTGTGTGTCTGTCTGTCTGTGTGTGGGTGTGTGGGTGAGTGGGTGAGTGGGTAGGAAGTCAGTTACTTAGCAGCACCTGATGTTCCTGGAGAGTAACGAGGCGGCTACTAAAGAGGCTGTGAGGTGTCGTGTGCCGCTCGAGGAGGTGAGGGGTGCTGCGGTGAGCGCCACATGCCCGTGTCTGTGCACGGCTCTTTTCTGGGTGGATTCAGAAGCTCGTGCCACTTGCGTCATGCTCCTCTTCTCCGTCGCATTCCAGCTGTCTCCTCACCCCCTCCTCCACCACCGATTGTTTACTTGTACATCCGCCCGCTTCTCCACACCCATCTCGTCCAATCTCCCTTCCCTCCCCCTCTCTTCCTTTCGAGTGTGAACTCAGCGCCTGAACAACTCTCTCCCCTCTGCACCCTTCCCCCCCTCCCGCCCCACTGTCTACACTTCTTTGCCCCATCCCTCCCCCCCGTTCCCCTTGCATGGTGCAGTACGCAGCAGAGCTGGTGCGCTCTCAGATCCTAGCAGCCATCGAATGTTGAGGCACCTCCAATCGCTCCCTCCCCTCTGCGCCCTCTCCCCACCCTCCCCTGTCCTGCACCCCGTTTCCCTTGCATGGTGCAGTTCGCAGCAGAGCTGGTGCGCTCTCAGATCCTAGCAGCCAGTGAGTCGGTGCACGGCGCACAGAGCGGGGGCACATGGGAAGGTAACACAGCAGATCCGTCCGACTCCAGGCATGGCGATTCGCGCACGGCTGAGGAGACAGCCGCAGGGGAGGCACAGGAGGAAAGGGAGGGGGACGGTGGGAGCGAGGGCGAGAGAGGGAGTGAGAGCGAGGGGCCGGCTGACGAGGAGCACGCGGTGGTGATAGATGGCAAGGCGCTGGCTCTGGTTTTGGCAGACGACGCGCTGCGCCTGGCGTTCCTGGAGCTGGCGCTGCAGTGCGCGTCGGTGATCTGCTGCCGCGTGTCCCCCAAGCAGAAGGCGCAGGTCACTGCCATGGTGCGACGGGAAGGGAAGCAGATCTGCTTGGCGATTGGGGATGGCGCGAACGACGTGGGCATGATCCAGAAGGCGAACATCGGCGTGGGGATCCGAGGCGAGGAGGGGCAGCAGGTGAGGAGATGAGGAGATGGGAAGCAGGTGAGGCATGAAGGGGGGGAGGAGAGGCATGGGGCAGTAGGTGGGGCATGAAGAGGGGGGAGGGGAGGCATGGGGCAGCAGGTGAGGCATGAAGGGAGGGGGAGGGGAGGCATGGGGCAGCAGGTGAGGCATGAAGGGGGAGGAGGGGAGGCATGGGGCAGCAGGTGAGGCATGAAGGGGGGGGAGGGGAGGCATGTGGCAGCAGGTGAGGCATGAAGGGGGGGGAGGGGAGGCATGGGGCAGCAGGTGAGGCATGAAGGGGGGGGAGGGGAGGCATAGGGCAGCAGGGGAGGGCATGGGGCAAGGCAGCATGGGAGACAAGGCAGCATGAGAGGCATAGCAGCATGGGAAAAATGGTAGCATGGGAAGCATGGCAGCACGTTTATCACATGCTCCAACATCACATGGCAATGATGATTCTAGAGTCAAGTCCATGCCATCACCCCGCGTGCAAAGTTTTGATCCTTCTAAGGGCCGTGTCCAAATTTTGGCGAAATTCTAACAGAACAGCTGGTTACATCTTTCGTCAATCTTGCGAAATCGCTCGCGAGTTCGCAGAAAATCATCGCCAAAGAGAGGAAAGACGAGGACACAGACCGTTTGAATCGGCCAATCCGAACGGCCAACCCCCGCACGTAACAGTTTGCGAGCGAAAATTTGCGAAAACCTAGTCGAGGCTCGGACCCCCGGCAACTCCAGGCCCAGGTGCGCGACTGCCAAACCACTCTTCAATCTCCCTCGCAAATATTCACGAAGCTGCGACAGCAGGTTTGGTGTGAAACGGCGTGAGACAAATGCGGTAGGGCAATTTCTCCATGCTGTCCCACCAGCCTCGGGGGAGTGCCGAGCTCGCCCGGCCTTGGTTTGGACGGGGGCCTGCGACAGTCACGTAAATTGCGATGCGAAGCAGGACCCGTCGCATTCTGTCACAGCCGCTCGAATTTCCTGATTTTAAGCGTAGGTCCTGGGGGTCCATGCGTAAAGCACTATGAAGTTGTGTGAATTTGCGATGTTGTACGAATATCGCACAAGCCTTTTCGAACACCCTTGGAATTCAATATTGTTCGAATTTTCACCAATCCTCGCTGATGTCACACGCCCTAACAGTTCGTGTCAGCATTCTCAGCATCTTCCTGCATGCATCCATGGCTCCCATTGCCAGGCTGTCATGGCGTCGGACTTTGCCATTGGCCAGTTCAGATTCCTGGAGCGGCTGCTATTGGTGCACGGGGGATGGTGCTACAAGCGCATCTGCGTGCTGGTGAGTGCGTGCTTATGTGTAACATGTGCTGCTTGTTCACATGTTTAGTTGATTTTTGGCCCTCAATTATCATAATTTTTCCAAATGTGCTGCTTGTGTAACATGTGCTACCTGCTCACAAACAGCAACTGTGTGCTGGTGAGTGCGCGCTTCTGCGTAACAGGTGTTACTTGTTCGCATGTAATAGTTTCATCTTGCCCATAACTATCATTTACATCTCCACTTGACCCCATGCCGAATGGTAGCCTGACCTTATTTCGTCTGTTTCCTCCTCTTGGCTTCTCCCATCTGCCTCCCTCACCCTCCAGACTCTTGGTCTCATCTCTATCAGCCTTGTTCTCACACATGCCACATGCTACGACATCCTACCCTTAGCAGATCACCAATTTCTTCTGCAAGTATTTCGCCTTCGCCTTCACCAGCCTCTTCCACAGCTGACTCGCATTCTTCACACTTCCCCCCCTCCCCCTCGCCTTCCCACCCCTCCTTAATGCTTCCTTTATCCCATCCCTCGCAGATCACGTATTTCTTCTACAAGTGTTTCGTGTTCGCATTCACCATCCTCTTCTACAACTGCCTCGCTTACTTCTCCGGCACGTCGGTGTACTACGACTGGTACCTCACGCTCTACATGGTGCTCTTCACCTCGCTGCCCATCGGCGTCGTGGGCGTCATGGATCAGGATGTCAAGGCCGTGTACAGGCTGCGCTATCCCCAGCTCTATGGCCAGGTGGGTGCCCAAGTCAGCTCTACAGGCAGGTGGGCATGGGGTGGTTGTCACGGGCACCGCAGTGTCCTGCGACTGGTATCTCACGCTCTACATGGTGCTCTTCAGCTCGCTGCCCGTTGGGTTGGTGGGGATCATGGACCAAGAGGTCAAAGCTGTGTGCAGACTCAGATACTCGCAGCTGTATCGGCAGGTGGGTGCTTGAGTCGGCTCTACAGGCAGGTGGCCATGCATGGGGCGGTTGTCTCACTGATGGGGTGGTTGCTGGCACGTTGGTGGACTACGACTGGTGCCTCACGCTCGACATGGTCCACCTCACTTGGCTGCCCGTGGGTGTGCTGGGCGTCATGGACAAGGGCGTCAAGGCCGTGCACCACCTGTAGTATCCGTGCCTATGGAATGGTTATCGCCGCGTCCGTCCACACAGTCCAGTGTGGCGCACTGGATGGCTGCGCTGTGCTGTTACCCCCCCCCTTCTCCCCCCCTCGCCCCATGGTTGTTGCGCTGTGGTGGAGCGTGGCCAGCTGGATGGCTGTGCTCTCCTCCCTTTTTCACCCTTGCCCACACCACACTCCCATCCATCAGGGCCGTCCATCCATCAGGGCCGTCCATCCATCAGGGCCAGCGCAACGAGCTCATCTCTGTGCAAGCGTCGCGAGCTGGATGGCTGTGCTGTCGCCCTCTCTTCACCCTTGCCCCCCCTGCCACACTCCCACGCTCCCCCGCTCCCCCGCTCCCTTCCCCACACGCCCCTTCCCCCCACCAGGGCCAGCGCAACGAGTTCTTCTCCGTGCTGAGCGTGGCGAGCTGGATGGCCAACGGGCTCACTCAGGCCGCCGTGATCTTCGCGCTCTCCCTCGTGCCCTTCGCCCTCGTGGCGGACCGCAGCACGGGGTACATCCTGGACCTCACGGCCGTCGGCACCATCATGTACTCGGCGGTTGTGACGACCGTCAACCTGGAGCTGGGGTCCAATGTGCAGGTAAGGCGCCTTCAAACGAGCTTAGTGCGGGCCGCAGCACCTGGTGGCCTCACTGCCATTGGCACCATAATGTATTCGGCCGTTGTCACCACTGTCGACCTGGAGCTGGGCTCCAATTTGCATGTGAGGTGCCTTCAGTCTGGCCTGGTGATGAGGTGCCTTGGCCCTCGTGGCGGACCGCTGTACTGCCAGGTTCATCTTCGACCTCACTGCTGTCAGCGGCCTCATTTATGCCGTGGCCGTGGTGGACCGAGTCAACCTGGAGCTGGAGTCCCACATGCAGGTGAGGGGCCTTCATGCTGCCCTAATGAGCCGGCGAGGGACCTTCTAGACAGACCCAGTGGTGGCAGCAGCACCAGGTACCTGCTGGACCTCACTGCCATCGGCACCATCATGTATGCAGCGGTTGTTGGGATGGTCGACCGGGTGCTGGGATCCAACAAGCAGCTCCCTGTGAGGAAGCGAGGAAGCGCCTTTCAGGTGAGGTGCATCTCCCCCGTGTCCTTCGTCACAGCCTTGGGTCACCGGGTCTCGCAGCACCAGGTTCATGCTCGGCTTCACTGCAGTCGGCACCATCATGCATGTGCCTGCCGTCGCCACAGTCAACCTGGAGCTGGGCTTCCACGTGCAGGTGAGGACGAGCTGTCCAGTCGGCTCTGATGTACAGCCCCAGTGGTGATAACAGCACTAGATGTGTCCTGGCTCCCACTGGCGTCGGCACGCTCATGACTGCTGCGCTGCCATTGCCCGTTTTGAGACGTCTTGAAATTGGATCTCACTGCTGTCGGTCAGCACCATCATGCCTGCTGCGCTGCTGTCACTACTGACAACCTGGAGCTGGGGTGCAATGTGTGCAGGTGGGGTTGCAGTGCATGATGCTGCAGGTCGACTGTAGGGGTGTGTCAGCACCCTCATGTCTGCTGTGCTGCCGTACCCATGAGACTTCCCCCCCCCCCCCTATATTGTTCTCCTCTCCTCTCCCTCCACCCCGCTCTCCACACAACCCACCTCTCCCACTCGTTCAGGGCTCTGATGGATGGAACATCCTCTGCTTGCCCCATGCCCCTCTTCACCCCTGCCTCGCCTTGCCTCATTGTCCCTTCCTCCCCGATGTTCCATCTGCCCACCCTAGACCCCTCTCCCCCCCACTTTCTCCCCCCTCTCCTTTCCTCCCTTCCCCCCCTGCGCAGTACTGGAACGTGCTGCACTTCCTCACCATATTCGGCTCCATCCTCTTCTTCTTCGTCCTCATGGCGATCGGCAGCTACCTGCCCATCAAGTGGGTCGGCAATCTGTCCGGCGTTGCCGCCCAGCTGCTGCCGGCAGCTAGCTTCTGGCTCAACCTGGTGCTGGCGGTGGTGGCGGCCATGCTGCCGTCGTACGCTGTCCGAGGAATGTGGAGGTGCGGGAATATGAGGGCTGGAGCGGGATGGGGACCGGGGGGGGGGGGAAGGGTCTGGGGGTGGAAGGGGAGATGGAGATGGGGGTAAGGGAGGTGGGCCCTTCTGGCTCAACCTGGGTCTGGCGTTGGTGGCAGCCATGCTGCCATCCTACGCTGTCAGGGGGATGTGGAGGTGCAGAAATGGGAGGGTGGAGGCGGGATGTTGGGGGGAGTGGGGTGAGGAGGGGGAAAGGGGAGAATGGGGTTAAGGGAGGTGGGCCTTCTGATTCAACCTGGTGGCAGCCATGAGGTGGCGGAGGAAGAGAAGCGACAGGAACTATTGAAGCGCCCCAGTGATTTCACTCCCGATCCCCTTTCTGTCCCCCCTTGGACACCCCGTTGCCCCTTGGACACCCCGTTGCCCCCTTGGACACCCCGTTGCCCCTCCCATCACCCCGGTGTCTCCCTTTGTTTGTCCTCCCACTGCTCTCTCCCCCAGGCATCTGCGCCCAGGCGACCACGAGGTGGTGCAGGAGATCGAGCGGCGGGAGAGGCGGCGGCGGCTGATGCGGCTGTCCACCATGGCACGCCACATGTGTGTGGGCGCCCCGCTGGTGGCCAATCACGGCGAAAATGGCGCTGCTGACGTGGAGCAGTCGGTCCATAGCTCTGCAGGCTCTGGCAGCAGTGATGTTGGTGGGAAGGGGAAGGGGAAGGGGAAGGGTGGAGTGGGGAATGGAGTGGTGGGGGAGTATCAGATGGCTGAGAATGGAGGGGTGGGTTTCACTGCAACTGAGGAGCTGAGACACAGAAACCACCAGCAACAGAGACACGTGCAGCAGTAACCACCGCATGGTCCATGCGTATGAGTGGTCAGTAGTAATGAATGAGTGAATGGCAAGCAGCCATGGGATGGGGTTGTGTTGGTGGCTGAAAAGCAAAATGGCCTGGAGTACCGTATATTGATTGTGATGGTCTGGTGCAGCTGGTTAGCACCATACGCCCATGGTATTGATGGCAGCAGGTAACTCAATCAGCACAGTCATCACAGCTGGTGCTGTGTAATCATATGTTCGTTTGTTCCTATAATACACTATAAGGTTGGCACGCCAAGCTCCCTGTCTCCCACAGCAATTGTGTCATTATAGGGTAGGGTCAATAACAGCAGCAACCTAAGTACATGTCAGTGACTTCAGTTTCGCTGCCATGGCCACCCTGTTTCTGCGAGCATGGTCATCCAGCTCAGGCATGGCTGCTGGGAAGCAATCGAGGTTCATTGACGTCTGCAGGGTATCGAAATCTCCGACTCTAAAGGCTTCATGAGCTGGATGACGATCGCTGATGGTTGAAAGCAAAGACGAGTATCCTCCTGGCAGATGCGGTACATTGTGTCACTTGCTCGCCGCCATGAGCAGGGATAGTCCCGACACCTGCTTCCTTGACGACAGCCGTCTGCGCCGCTCGCCCTTCAAACAAGGATTAAAACCAGTGGAATCTGAGCCGTTGGAATCTGAGCGTGTGGAATCTGAGCCGTTGGGAGCTTGAGCGTCGGGATTTGACACGTGAAAGTCGACGACGCGCGGAACAACGGCGTCATCAAATGACGCTCTTCGCGAGATTTTCAGCTGGCGCGTGAAACCCTCAGCTGCCTGCTCGCGCGGAAGACTTCGACATTCGGAAGCTTCCATACCCATGCAGGAAGCATCCTGCGAGGGAAGAGGGACCTCCGCTTCCGTGCTCGTGAAATCCGTCCTCTCGATGAGGCTCGCCGTAGATGGCACACGATGGCTCGTCACGACTGCTGCCTTATCCATGTTATCCAATGTACTACACGCCGCTTGCCGCAGATTTGAATAGTTGGCGAATCGGACTTGAGATTTCGTGTCGAAACGGGGTAGGGCCGGAAGAATAGGCCATTTGCCACCGTGCGATGCCATGTAGCGAGCTAGGAGCATCGGTTCGTCCATATCATCTGTGCACGCCATGCGATCTGCTGGATAGGACCGCAAGCGGTGACTTGGAAAGATGAAGAGTTACTGATGAGGACAACTGCAGCAGCGTGGCAATACTGTACCTAGAGTTTGGATGATCAGAGACTGGATGTAACACCGAAACTGTGATGAGAGAGGGAAGGGGAGGGAAGAATTCGGGAAAATTACTGCCACGGACTGCCCACAAATCTTTTCATACTTTCGTGGACAGCCCCTACTTTCACGGACACCACATCAACCTTTCGCTTCTCCCGTGGACTCCGTCCCTACTTTCATGGACATCCGCCTTACTTCCATGGACAAGGTCGAAATAGCAGGAAATAGGCGAAAACTCAACTGTACAAAAAATGACGGGCGCTGAAAAAAAAAAGCAGGGGCTCAGCGTGCGTCGCAAAGAGTCGCACGCTACAGTGCCCCAAACCAAAATCCGAAACAGAATCTCGCCTCTACAGTATTTCCATCAATCGTGACCATTTCCCGAGCAGAGAAGGCAATGCCACATCAGCAATGCTGTGGAAACATTTCCGAAGCCTGCGGAAAGCTAAAATGCGAGGAAAGCCAGGCGAATAAGGCAGGGGCTCACCCCTCATACTATTAGGGTTTCTCCAGCATACTCACGCACGCTGCCTCACACGCCTCTCTCTATGTAGTCTACGTAGACTTCTACAGAAAGTTAGCTACGTATATACCAAGACATGTTCAGTTATTTATCAGCGGGAATAATAGTTCAGTTTTTACAATGTCAGTGCAGGACGCCCAGACGGAGATGCTTGCAGCAACTCTTGAGGCAATGGATTCTGATCCATCTCCAGAACCGCATTGCAACGTAGACGACAATTTCCCCATCGAAATCGGGAACTTCTACACGTCTAAGGAGGCCGTAATCAACGTCCTTTATGATTTCGCTTTTGCGCATCGCTTTGGTTTTGCTATGAGTTATAGCAAGCCAACCCGGGCTAGGGCAGTGTGCAAATCGTCTGAAGAACGTGGTGGCAAAAAATGCCCGTGGGAGTGCACTTTTAGTGTCTGCCGTATGGGGGGCTTTTGGTTGGTGAAGAAGTTAAGTCCTGCGAGTGTGCACACCTGTGACTGGCCGGACAGGGAACGCTACGTGAAATCTATGGTGAACAAAGTAAAATTCCTCGAACGCTTGTACGGAGCACTTGTTAGAGGGGCGCCGTTTCTCGCTCCGCGTGAGTACATCGACCAGATCGTGGCAACTGGGGGGCCTTCTATCAAGTATCAACAAGCATACAGGTGAGATTGACTTGGCATTTCAAATGTCACCAATTATACTATGTACTTCCCACATACCTTGATAGCCATGGTTTGAATGCAAGTCAGTTTCAACCCTTCTCGATCCATCCCCGTCCACTAAACAGATTGAAGGAGAAGATCGTTACTCAACGGTTTGGCAGTTGGAGAGACTCCTTCAGGTTCATTCCTTCACTCCAGAGACGTTTGAAGCTTATTGATCCGGGTGCCACTGTCAGGCTGCAAACATATCAACATCAATTCAAACGTTTCTTTGTAGCCCCTTCCGCAACCAGAGAGTCTCTAAAGTGTTGCCGCCCGGTAGTTGCCCTTGATGGAACGTTCTTGCTTTCTGCTCAACGTGCAACGCTCCTCATCGCAACTTCATTGGATGGTAACAACAACATCATTGTTCTCGCCTTCGCACTGGTTGAAGGTGAGAATTTTTGTAGCTGGAGGTGGTTTTTGGAGTGCTTCAAAAGCCACTTTCCTAACTGGTTAGGCGAGGATGATGCGTCTGTGATTAGTGACAGGGACAAAGGTCTTGTTCCTGCTGTGAAGGAAGTCTTCCCCTCACTCCCGCACTACTTTTGTTCGTGGCACTTGGAGCAGAACTTGACAAGGTTCGGTCCAAATGCTGTTGACCTATTTAGAAAACTCCAAGACTGCAGGTCAGAAAAGAAGTGGGAGACCTATGTGAAGGTGGCTAGAGAACGGTTTCCAAACTTCGCGGCGTACCTACTGGGTACACCGAGTGTTCACACCGACTTCCCACGCAACAGTCAGGGGACAAGACGTGTACGAAGGCGTGTGCCAACAACAGGCAGCCTGGGATCAACCAGAAATCAGCCAACTTCTCATGAACCCTCGGAGCAATCGCCACAGTCTGGGCGGCAGCACCAACAGTATGCTGGCAATGTTCGACAGCAGCCACGCCGACAGCAGGGTCGCCTCCAGCGGCGGGGCCAACAGCAGCGGCAGCATGGGCAGCAGCAGCAACCGGGGCAGAGTGGGCAGCAGACTCGGCTGTCTGAGCAGCAGCAGCAGCAGCAGCAGCAGCAGCAGCAGCAGCAGCAGCATCAGCACCAGGGCCAACAGCAGCAGGGACAGCAGCAGGAGCAAGGCCAGCAACAGCAGGGGCAGGGTTCACATCAGTGGCACGGACAGCAGGAGCAGCAGAGTGGGCAGCAAGCAGGGCTATTTTGGCAGCAGCAGCAACAACAGTTGCGACAGCAGCACCAGCAACAACAGGGTGGGCAGTGGGGAGGGCTGTTTGGGCAGCAGCGGCAGGGTCAGGGGCAGCAGGGCCAAGGTGGGCCGCAGCAGCAGCAGGGGCAGCAGCAGCAGGTCCCGGGTGGACAGCAGCAGCATGGACAGCTGCAGCAGCATGTCCAGCAGCAGCAGGGTCAGCGTACGCAGTGGCAGCAGGGACAGCAGCAACATCAGCAGCGGGGTGGGCAGCAGGGAGGGCTGTTTGGGCAACAACAGCAGGGTCAGCGTAGGCAGCAGGGTGAGCAGCAGCAGCAGTGGGGTGGGCAACAGGGAGGACTGTTAAGCCAGCAGCAGCATCATGGTGGGCAGCAGGCAGGGTTGTTTGAGCAGCTGCAGCAGGGACGACAGCAGCAGCGCCAGGGTGGGCAGCAGCAGCAGGGTCAGGGCCAGCAGAACCAGGGCGGGCAGCAACAGCAGCAGGGTCAGGGGCAGCAGAACCAGGGTGGGCAGCAGCAGCAGCAGGGTCAGGGTCAGCAGAACCAGGGTGGGCAGCAGCAGCAGGGTCAGGGGCAGCAGAACCAGGGTGGGCAGCAGCAGCAGGGTCAGGGGCAGCAGAACCAGGGCGGGCAGCAGCAGCAGCAGGGTCAGCAGCAGCAGGGTCAGGGGCAGCAGAACCAGGGTGGGCAGCAGCAGCAGGGTCAGCAGCAGCAGGGTCAGGGGCAGCAGAACCAGGGCGGGCAGCAGCAGCAGCAGGGTCAGGGGCAGCAGAACCAGGGCGGGCAGCAGCAGCAGCAGGGTCAGCAGCAGCAGGGTCAGGGGCAGCAGAACCAGGGTGGGCAGCAGCAGCAGGGTCAGCAGCAGCAGGGTCAGGGGCAGCAGAACCAGGGTGGGCAGCAGCAGCAGGGTCAGCAGCAGCAGGGTCAGGGCCAGCAGAACCAGGGCGGGCAGCAACAGCAGCAGGGTCAGGGGCAGCAGAATCAGGGTAGGCAGCGGCAGCAGCATGGTCAGGGTCAGCAGAACCAGGGTGGGCAGCAGCAGCAGGGTCAGCAGCAGCAGGGTCAGGGGCAGCAGAACCAGGGTGGGCAGCAGCAGCAGGGTCAGCAGCAGCAGGGTCAGGGGCAGCAGAACCAGGGTGGGCAGCAGCAGCAGGGTCAGCAGCAGCAGGGTCAGGGCCAGCAGAACCAGGGCGGGCAGCAACAGCAGCAGGGTCAGGGGCAGCAGAATCAGGGTAGGCAGCGGCAGCAGCATGGTCAGGGTCAGCAGAACCAGGGTGGGCAGCAGCAGCAGGGTCAGCAGCAGCAGGGTCAGGGGCAGCAGAACCAGGGTGGGCAGCAGCAGCAGGGTCAGCAGCAGCAGGGTCAGGGGCAGCAGAACCAGGGTGGGCAGCAGCAGCAGGGTCAGCAGCAGCAGGGTCAGGGCCAGCAGAACCAGGGCGGGCAGCAACAGCAGCAGGGTCAGGGGCAGCAGAATCAAGGTAGGCAGCGGCAGCAGCAGGGTCAGGGTCAGCAGAACCAGGGTGGGCAGCAGCAGCAGGGTCAGCAGCAGCAGGGTCAGGGGCAGCAGAACCAGGGTGGGCAGCAGCAGCAGGGTCAGCAGCAGCAGGGTCAGGGCATTGAGAACATCGACGGCCCTGACGGTGGTGCTCAGCCCGAGCCGCATACGGATGAGACAGAATCTGGTATCCGAGTACGCACTGGCATGAGATGGGCAAAAAAACGTACTCATTACATCAAGATAGACGAGAAGCACTGGGCGCGCTTCCACGCACCCACGGTGCGTTTCAGTATCTTTGCAAGCAGCATGGCAGAGTCCATCAATGCTGCCATAAAGAAAACTCGCAAGCTCCCGCCAGCATACATGCTTGCAACCCTGTGGGATTGGATGATGAAAAGGCTTTACGAGGCAAGTGAGGACGCGGGTGAGAATGACGGGTTCCTGACTCCCAAGGCTGCTGAAAGGTTTGAGAACAAGCGGCACCGGGCGGAGAATTATATTGTTGAATGCTCATCCATTGGTGGAGCTGGGGTTGTGACAAATCGAGGGTCACCGTGGACTTCGCCAATGTCGTTCAACGTGAACATTGACACGAAGTGGTGTGAGTGTGGCAATTGGAAGCAATATCAGTTTCCATGCTCACATGCTTTTGCTATGATGCGCGAAAAGGGGAAGGATCCAGAGGATTACATCTCCTCCTATTTCACCGCAGCCAATTGGAGAGCTACCTACAGCACTCCAATGATGGGGGCTTGTATTGACCGTGTCATGCAGGAGAATGCAAATCCCGCTCACGGTGTGTGTGATCCTCCAAATTTTGTGCCGAGGGGTGTTGGAAGACGTCCAATGATTAGACGATTTGAGGCACCGAAGCGTCCAATCAAATGCAGCACTTGTCACAAGATGACGCGGCATAATCGACGCACTTGTAGGGGAAAGTATGGGGCAGGCTCGGAGGCGAGAGAGGTAGATAATAACGGGGAGTAAGTATGACGTGACTACATATGGAAATACTAGCCCCAGCAGCAGCAACAGAGTGGGCAGCAGGCAGGGCTGTTTGGACAGCAGCAGCAACAGAGAGGGGCAGCAGGCAGGGCTGTTTGGACAGCAGCAGCAGGGCCAGGATGGGAGCAGCTGCTGTCGTGGCAACACCAACACCACCAGCAGCAGCATCATCACCACCACCACCCACAGAAGCATCAGTAACAATAGCACCAGCAGCAGCGGCAGCGGCGGCAGCAGCAGCGGCAGCGGCAGCGGCAGCAACAGTAGTAGCAGCGTTGGCAGCAGAGAGGCCTGCTTGGGCAGCAGCAGCTGGGGCAGCGGCATGAGGGCCATGTTGGGCAGCAGCAACAGGGTCAGGGATGGCAGCAGGGAGGGCCGTTCCAGCAAAAACAGCTGGACCTTCCCCATCGCTGCCTCATTATAGTTCCTTCCCCCAACCACCTGCTTCAACTACCTTTGCTTTTTCACTTCCATCACCAAGTTCCGCCAGTCTCCTTCCCCAAACCCCACCCTCATGCGTTTCCAGGAAGATGATGAAGCCTTTCTTGAGTTCACTTTCCTTTAACTCCCCTCTACATTGCCAACCGCCCGCCGCGCCTTCTCACTTGAATGATCTGCCTTCCGAGACAGCCCCTCTCCACCTGTTTGATCCGCTTTAAGCCACAATCTCCACCCCCTCCCATGCCTCTTCTCCCACATGCTAATTTTGTCACCTAGCCTTATTAACCACCCCATTTTTCTCTCCCCTTTAACTCGCTACAATGTTGGGAACCTAAATGTATTAGTCATTAAAAAAAAAGGAGTTGCTAATGCAGCCAATATTGTAGTGGTGGCCAGCAGAAGTTGTATATGTACTTGTTACCAGATGGAAACATCATACAGATCCCACCCACATCCCGATTTTTCACACCCCATTCTATCGATCTACTGATGGGCCCTCTATGCTACACACTGCTTTAACAATGATGTACGTTGGGCTCCCAACCCCGTGGTTTAATCCATAAGATGCCACACCATACTTACAATAGTTGGTTTCAGCGTTGAATTTAATAACTATCTTTTACAATCGAAGTTGTATCTCATATATTCATTAATGGTAACCTGTCATGAATGGCACGAACCATTTTTCGTGTTGTGAGACTATCCTTATGTGTGCCACCCTGAGAGTACCCTTTCTCTCTCTCTCTTTCTCTCTCTCTCTCTCTCTCTCTCTCTCTCTCTCTCTCTCTCTCTCTCTCTCTCTCACTCACTCACTCTCTCCCTCTCCCTCTCTCTCTCTCTCTCTCTCTCTCTCTCTCTCTCTCTCTCTTTCTCTCTCTCAATCTTGCACTCTCTCTCTCACACACACTCTCCCTCTCGCTCTCTCTCTCTTTCTCTCTCCCTCAACCTCTCTCTCTCTCTCTCTCTCTCTCTCTCTCTCTCTCTCTCTCTCTCTCTCTCTCTCTCTCTCGCTCTCTCTCTCTCTCTTCCTCTCCCCCTCTCTCTCTCTCTCCCCCCACCTCCCCCCCCACATCGTAACTCTCTTTCCCTATCTGTTGCAAGATTTTAGTAATTTAGTTCGACGTGTACCGAGGTAGCTTGAACAGCAAGATTTATATATATGCTTTATGATATGCTGGAAATATGGCAAGGTACACAACCGCGGGCAGTGGTACTCAATGACATAGGCCTCCCCTTCTCCGAATCTCAGGAAACGGTATGGCAGGAGCACCATGAGCATATTGGGTTGGATGGACAGGATAGAGGGACTTTTGAACTGTCGCCTTCACTTAGTACACTCCTCTATTCACCCCAAAGATTTGTAACCTTACCTGTTTTTTTAATGTCAGTTTAAGAGTGTCTGAACGATTTTGCGGGCAATCAGAATTATATTTCTAAGACGCATTTTTATTTAAAACCTTGGTAAAAAACATAATTTCTTGTGGAAGTTACGCAGGGAAATTCTCTAACAAGGTTCGACGTTTCGCGCCGGAAGGGTTGCGTACCCGGAAAAACAAATTCACCTGGAAAATATGTACTCCATATGGCCCCAAATATAAATACATTTTCATTGAGGTATATATTTGTCTTTCTATGCTTTGTTATTCTAGTTTTTTTTTTTTTTACCAAAGCTTGATTTTACATTATGATAAAACCATAATTTATTTTTTTCCATATTTCGACTCAATTATAGCACACGTATTATTGAAGTCTAAGCTTAAATTGGGAGAGTGAAAACTGGTCACCACGGGAAGTATTGTATTATCATATTCACTGGGATACAGTTTAGCGGGTAGATTTTTCTCGATATGAGACACTTAGGGCTTTCGGAAGAGTTGCTGACTTGGTTTGAGTGAACTCTGCTGACTCGGTAAGGGGTTGGTGGTGGTGCCCTTGGCAAGGCAATCTTGATACACCCAAACCAACTTTCTGCTCCACCCAACTCGCTCCCAATCTTGCTTCTCTTCGCACGTAATTCGTTCTTAGTAGGCAGTCATAGTTAGGTCGCCATACTTAGATCATCCTTACCATTTAGAATCGCTGCTCATTGGCACTAGGGGCCAAGGCGCCGCGCTTCCTGCCGCAAGCGCGCTGGCGCCGCACTTGCTGGCGCGAGCTTGTTGGCGCTAGGCGTGCAGGCGCCGCGCTGACTGGCGCTAGCGCGCTGGCGCCAATGTGTCTGGCGCTAGCGCGCTGACGCCGCGCCTAGGCGCGCATGTGCCGCGCTGGCTGGCGCGCGCTGGCTCTAGGGGTGCAAGCGCCGTGCTGACTTGCGCTAGTGCACTGGCGCCAGGGCGCTGACGCCGCGCTGACTAGCACGCGCTGGCGCTAGGGTCGCAAGCGCCGCGCTGGTTGGCGCTAGCGCTAGGGGCGCAAGCGCCGCGCTGGCCTGAGCTAGCGTGCTGGCGCCACGCTCGCTGGCGCAAGCGCGTTCGCGCCACGCTGGCTCTAGGCACACTGGCGCCGCGGTCACCAGCGCTAAGCGCCCAGACGCCTAGCGTCTGGCCTGCGTAGCGCACTGGCTCTAGACGCGCTGGCGTCAGCCGCTCTGACGCCCCGCTATGCACTAGGAACAAGGCATGCGGTGATCCTGCGCACAGGCACCGCGCTCGATGGCGGAACGGGCTGATGGCGTGGCAAGCAACATGCTTCGTTGGTGCTGAGTGATAGTGAGGCGCCCTCTCTTCTGGCAGGTCAGCACCTAGCAACACCTAGAAACACCTAGCAGCACCTAGCAGCACCTAGCAGCACCTAGCAGCACCTAGCGGCACCTAGCGGCACCTAGCGGCACCTAGCGGCACCTAGCAGCACCTAGCGGCACCTAGCAGCACCTAGCAGCACCTAGCGGCACCTAGCAGCACCTAGCGGCACCTAGCAGCACCTAGCAGCACCTAGCAGCACCTAGCAGCACCTAGCAGCACCTAGCAGCACCTAGCGGCGCAGCACCTAGCAGCACCTAGCAGCACCTAGCAGCACCTAGCAGCACCTAGCAGCACCTAGCAACACCTAGCAACACCTAGCAACACCTAGCAGCACCTAGGTATGTGTGCACTAGCCGTTGGCACACTAGCCTTCGGCACACTAGCCGTCCGCACACTAGCTGTATGCGCACCAGCTATTTGTTCGTTGTCCACTAGTTTACCATCTCCTAATCATTTGGCGAAATTAGTGCACTTTTTGCTAGCGCACTTAGTGTTCAATTACTGCAATATGTTTTCTAAACCCTAAATTCTGTTTGTTTCCTATCGCCATTGCGTGCAGGTCTATGTAGACGACTGGTAACTGCATTTGTGCATTGCCAAGACAAAGGGTTGGGGGGGGGGGGGGGGGGAGGGGTTAGGGGATAAGCTGGAATTGGAAGGGGGGGGAGAAAGAGTAGGGAAGGAGAGGAGGAGAAGAGGGGGGGGTGTGCTTCATCGCAACCAGTAGTAACTGAGTGATCAGCACATTTGGGCTTTCATGTTTCTCTCACAGTTCTCTTGTGTGTTGTGTTTGTACTCCCATGATGTGTGGTTCTTATCTTCTTTGTCCTCTTCTTGGTTCCCCCCTTATTATTTCCCTTTTCTTCCACCCTCCTCCCTTATTATACGTGTATGCGTGTGTTTTTTTCCGTGAGTATGTGGATTGCATGGTTTGAATCGTTACTGTTATCGTGGTGTCATGTTTGTACTGGAGTGGTGCATATATGCCAAGTGCAGTACGCAAAATGTGGTTGTCTTTGTCGGTTTGGAAAGCGTTGCTTCCAAAACGCACATGTCAACCTCACTTGCAGCACGAAAGCATTCGTGTATCACTTCATTGTATTCATGGCGAGATTCTACGTTTGCATACTGTGTGTATTTGTGGTCATGCATTTTGTAATATCGTGTTTGTATTGGAGTGGTGCATATTATCATAATTGAAAATTGAATGATAGATAGAGTGAGAGTACACAAAGATATACCTAAGTGCTGTACTCTCTAAGAGGCGACCCTATACAGTCTATACAAACATGACAAATACACATATTTGACACACCCCCTAGACTGCATAGGGGAATGCCCTAAACAAACAGCTCAGGGCGGCACTATTAGTCCAACCTCTGAGACAAGGGTCTAAGAGACCAGTCAGAAGGAGTACAAACAAGGCAAGAACAAGGGCAGGGCGGCACTACTAGTCCAGCCACTGCGAGAGGACACAAGTCCAGTCTGAGTATACGTATAAAGGACAGTACAAAGTCAAGGTCCTAGCAAGTGAGAGGCTACAGGAACTAGACCAAGCTGTACACAGTGCCGCTGATGATCTTTAGGCGCAAGCGCCTTCGTAAAGATATCAGCCGTGTTGGCACCTGAGGCCAAGTGTACTACGCGAGCCTGACGTCGCTGCTGTAGCTCACGCAGGAGGAAGTACCGCAGCTGAATGTGCTTCGCTCTGCCCTCGAGTCGAGGCTCCTGACACAGGAGGATCATGGCCCTGTTGTCAGCGAACAGGACCGGGGCAGAGCTAGGCCGCTCACCTAAGTCAGTGAGCAAGAAGGTCAGCCAGCGGAGCTCCTGTGCCGCCATGGCACCAGCGTAGATCTCAGCCTCACAGCTGGACTGCGCTACAGACGAGGAGCGGGTAGCTCTCCACGAGACGGCACCTGAGCCAAGGCTGAAGCAGTAGCCCTGGGTAGACCTGAGCGTCTCAGCGTCGTCTGCCCACGAAGCGTCTGTGTGTCCAGTAAGGACCACTGGCCTGCGTCCTCCTAGCACTAACCCCATGCCCGATGTACTAGCAAGATAACGCAGAACCCTCTTAGCGGCAGACCAGTGCTGCGGTCGGTGTCTGCCTGTGGCCACAAAGCAAGCCAGGATGCTGAGAGGGTATGCGAGATCTGGGCGAGTGCAAGTCATCAGGTACATGAGGCAACCCACCAGCTCTGCGTAGGGGCCGCTGGGCTCTACCAACTCCTCAGACACTGGAGTGGAGAGTCTGTGGTCTACAGGCAGAGGGGTGGGCTGTGCAGAGGAGAACTGAAGGCTGCGACGGGGTCGGGCAGGGGCGACGGGACCGGGGGGGGTACTACGCGGCCCAGGAGGGGCGCTACGGGGCCCAGGAGGGGCACGACAGGGGCCCAGGAGAGGCGCTACAGGGGCCCAGGAGGGGCGCAACGGGGCCCAGGAGGGGCGCTACGAAGCCCTGGAGGGGCGCGACGAGGCCCAGGAGGGGCGCTAAGGGGCCTAGGAGGGGCGTGACGGGGCCTGGGAGGGGCGCTACAGGGCCCAGGGAGGGCGCGACGGGGCCCAGGAGGGGCGCTACGGGGCCCAGGAGGGGCGCGACGGGGCCTAGTAGGGGCGCTACGGAGCCCAGGAGGGGCGCGACGGGGCCTGGGAGGAGCGCGACGAGGCCCAGGAGGGGCGCTACGGGGCCTGGGAGGAGCGCGACGGGGCCCAGGAGGGGCGCTAGCGGGCCTGGGAGGGGCGCGACGGGGCCTGGGAGGGGCGCGACGGGGCCTGGGAGGGGTGCTACGGGGCCCAGGAGGGGCGCTACGAAGCCCAGGAGGGGCGCGACGAGGCCCAGGAGGGGCGCGACGAGGCCCAGGAGGGGCGCTACGGAGCCCAGGAGGAGCGCTACGAAGCCCTAGGAGGGGCGCGACGGGGCCTGGGAGGAGCGCGACGGGGCCCAGGAGGGGTGCTAGGGGGCCTGGGAGGGGCGCGACAGGGCCTAGTGAGGGGCGCGACGGGGCTAGGAGGGGGTCGCGACTGGGTGAGCGGAAGCGGTAGGTGAGGGGGATCCTACCTACGCGTGATACCATATCATAATTGAAAATTGAATGATAGATAGAGTGAGAGTACACAAAGATATACCTAAGTGTTGTACTCTCTAAGAGACAACCCTATACAGTCTATACAAACATGACAAATACACATGTTTGACACATATATGCTAAGTGCAACATGCAAATTGTGGTTGTCGTTGTCGGCTTGGAAAGCTTTGCTTCCAAAACGTACATGTCAACCACGCTTGCAGCACGGAAGCATTCGTGCATGGCTTCATCGCATCCACTGCATCATTATACATTCGTACGCGTTTGTACGTGGTTGATTTTGTGTGACAAAAATGCGACCGAATGTATGTTTTGAAACCATTCGTCCGCCGTATTCATCGACAGACGGTTGGTAGGCAAAACATATATAAAGTAAGCAGCACAATGTCGTATCGTTACAACACTTTACGAGTGTAAAATATTTACATTCAACCATTTTACAGGTGTATTAACCCTAAAATTATTGTACACCCTGGCGCACAAAAACATGAAACCAATTTTATAAGGTTGCTACGCAACCCAAAAACATTCATCATTGAAGGAAACCTTTCATTTTGAGAATATGATGTAAACAACAACAGCAGCAGCACTAGTCTGAACTGGTAGACAATTTGACAGAGCGTACCGATTTTTCCTTCTGAAGTACAGTAACATAGAAACGCGTGGGTACTGCCTGCCGAATCACACGTCACACGACTTACTGTGCGAAACGCACCAAACGAAAACCTGGCGTGAAAGTCGTTCCCAATTTCTGGTAGATTCTGTTTCGGATTTTGGTTTGGGGCACTGTAGCGTGCGACTCTTTGCGACGCACGCTGAGCCCCTGCTTTTTTTTTTTTCAGCGCCCGTCATTTTTTGTACAGTTGAGTTTTCGCCTATTTCCTGCTATTTCGACCTTGTCCATGGAAGTAAGGCGGATGTCCATGAAAGTAGGGACGGAGTCCACGGGAGAAGCGAAAGGTTGATGTGGTGTCCGTGAAAGTAGGGGCTGTCCACGAAAGTATGAAAAGATTTGTGGGCAGTCCGTGGCAGTAATTTTCCCGAAGAATTCGCTCGACTTGAGAATCGAGACTGGTCCGCCAGAGGGAAGACGGGCATTGTTTGTGTGGTTGTGGATGGCGGGGTCTGTCAGACGGCGCGTGCTCCACGGAAGAAAATGGTTTGGATCCCGTTGCAGAGGTGCTTGCACCCTTAGGGCGTGTATCTGATGGTTTCGGAACTGAGTTCCGTCCGTGGACGAAAAGGATCACACATTTCAGCATTATTCGTTATACTTTTCGCCAACGGCCTCGCGAAGGATTCACGAGTTCCGGAGCTCGAGGTTCCACACATGTCCGGACGCTGGTTTCGAACGGTCGTCCGGATGTCCCTCCAGTTCTGTGCGAAAAGCACTAGCTACTCCCGCGAAAAGAACGAAACATCTCGACGCCGCCGTTACGCCACGTGCCAAATTTACCATTTGTTTGTGATTGACCATCCGCTTGTGATTGGAGACGACGAGCAAGGCGGCTCCAGCTTGTGATTGTTCTTGTTTGTCATTGGAGGCGAATTATTTGATTTCATCATTTCCGGGGGGGGGGGGGGGGGGGTGGGTGGGTGGGGGGGGGGGGGGGGAAGTTCGCTATTCGTTCAAACGTTTGAATGTTGGAACTTCGAGTCTCGGAACCCGAAAGTTCCGTCCGCGGACAGATTGCCTATCCGAGTTTCGAAACTGGCGCAAACGGAACTGGGGACAACGGTGACGGAACCCAGTTCCGGAATTGGGCCCACGAAACCGTAGCGCTACACGCCCTTAGGTTTGGCCAGAGCACCCCCCAACGAAAAAGTACAAATGAATGCGCGGAACGAGTCGCATGCTCGAGTCGCTGGAGCTGACAAGCGAACTGCCTGGAAGGTTCGAATACTGGTCGCACAACAGTCTTCGCTTGGTTTGGTTCGATCGTTGGAGTTCGTTGTGGGATTCGTTGGAGCGAAATGACAGGACAGAGAGCGGGTTACTACACCACAGGCTGTTGGCTCATCAGCGCAGCCAGGCAACAACCACAACTTCCACGTGCCTGGCAAGTATTCGTTATGGCGAGGCAAGAATCATAACGATCAACTGTAAAGCTTGATGGAACCGGAACTGATAGAGAGATGAAGTGGAGCTAACAGCTTTCCAAGTACAGACTAATAAGGTATCATATGCTATAGGCAATAATTTAATACGAGTTGTGATGGGAAAATCAGCAAATTTATGTGACACACTATTCGGTTTGGGCTCTGCAGAGCATACCACGACAGACCTAACCAGATTGCAACCAACCGCCCTGTACTACCGCTACATCACCTCACGAACACCCTAGCACCCAACCTCGGATGCCGAGCCGAGCCTTCAGCCTGCCCTTTCTCATATGCTACATCCGCGCCGCACCACGGGTTCTACAAGCGAAGCCCGGGCGATCAACGGAGAGTGCACAGGCTAGCAGGTATCTCGTACAGAGTGACCGCGCTACGTACACTGCATATTAGCCGACTAGAAGCACTCTCGCCATTCGTCTGTCCTATCGGTCTCTGCTCTGTGCTCATCAGTCCTATCCTAGAGCAGCCGTCTCGCGCGGCCGTGCTGCTGAAGTCATGGTCGTGGTTTGCAAGACTCAGGGTCAGCCGTTGGCCGTTTTACTCATAGGAACCGCGTAATTTGTTGTCGCTAAAGCCATTAGTATGTCCTTAGTCTCTTTTCTCGGTCGTCGCGAGCATCGCTAAGTATGCCGCTAATACCAAGCGTTTCTGATGCCACTGCCACTGCCACTGCCACGTGTCGCTAGCAGCAGGCGCAAGCACCTATAGTAGCGTGACCGAGCGTCGAGCGGTAGAGAGCGCCGTTCCTCTCTGCCCAGCGATGCAGCAGGGGGAAGGCGCGCCGCTGCTGAAGGCGGAGCCTTGGGCGGAGAGCCTCGAGCCGCCCCCCGCCAGCCCCGCCCAACGACCGCTCTCCTCCCTCAGTGCCGCGCCGCCCTCCTCCCTCCCTCTGCCGCCTTCTCTCTCCACCCCACGCGCGCTTGAGCCCGTCCCCACTCTCCCGCACGGCTTCACAGACCTCAAATCGCCGCTTTTCAAGGCGCCGCCTCATCCTGCCACATCGCACGGCGCGCCTCTCTTATCGCACGCCGCCGCCAGCGACGCAAAACCGTCGCCTGGCAGCCGCGTGTTACGCGGGTTCGTGTCGCTGATCGTCGTGTTCGCCGCGTCGCTGCTGCTCCTCTCGCAGCTGCCGCTCATCTCCTCCGTGCTGTCCCCGTTTGTGTCGCCGCTCGATATAAGCGTGGAGGAGGCGGAGCAGCCGGAGCAGGCGGGCGCGTCGCAGGTGGGCGGCGTGTGGGGGCAGGTCAGCCGGCAGGGCAGCATCGCCTTCCTCTTCCTCACGCGCGGCCCCATGCCCCTCGCCCCGCTCTGGGAAAAATTCCTCCAGGTGAGACTCCCCTCCATGCCTCCCGGTGAGTCTCTCCTCGCTGCCTCCAGGTGCGCCCTCCCCTCCATGCCTCCCGGTGAGTCTCCCCTCGCTGCCTCCAGGTGCGCCCTCCCCTCCGTGCCTCCAGGTGCGCCCTCCCCTCCGTGCCTCCAGGTGCGCCCTCTCCTCCGTGCCTCCAGGTGCGCCCTCCCCTCCGTGCCTCCAGGTGCGCCCTCCCCTCCGTGCCTCCAGGTGCGCCCTCCCCTCCGTGCCTCCAGGTGCGCCCTCCCCTCCGTGCCTCCAGGTGCGCCCTCCCCTCCGTGCCTCCAGGTGCGCCCTCCCCTCCGTGCCTCCAGGTGCGCCCTCCCCTCCGTGCCTCCAGGTGCGCCCTCCCCTCCGTGCCTCCAGGTGAGACTCCCCTCCGTGCCTCGTGCTGCCTTCCGCCCTTGCCCACGTGGCGAGGCAGCAGAGCAGCAAGGGTGGGTGGGGCAGGTGAAGCGGGGGGGGGGGAGATGAGGCAGGGGGGGAAGATGAGGCAGGAAGGGTAGATGAAGCTGGCAGCGTGGGTGGAGGTGGGGCGGAGTGCTATCATGCTGCACTCCCTCTCTTGCCCCTCTCCTCTCACCCTCTCCCGCTTTCTCTCTCTCTCTCCACCCACGTCCATAGCTCTGATTCCCAGCCATGAGACGTGCACCATGCGGCATGCACCATGCGGCATGCACCACGCGCCCTCTCTGCAAGGATACCCTCCTCCTGCATGCATGGACGTGCAAGGATGGATTTTCTCCTCTTGTCCCTCGCAGCAACCCGGTCCCCTCTTCCCCCCCCTCCTGCCCCCCCTCTCCTGCAGGGCCACGAGGGGCGCTACTCCATCTACGTGCATGCGTCCAACACCTCTTTCTCCTTTCCCCCCGGCTCCTCGCCCATCTTCCGTGGCCGCCTCGTACCGGGCGGTGAGGTGAGCCTTGTGCCGGGTGGAGAGGTGAGCCCCGTGCCAGGTGGAGAGGTTAGCCCCATGCCAGGTGGAGAGGTGAGCCCTGTGCCAGGTAAGGAGGCCATGCGTTCCTGCCAGCGTGTCACCATGTGTGAGCATGCCGCCATGCGTGAGCATTCCGCCATGTGTGAGCATCCGCCATGCGTGAGCATGCTGCCATGTGTGAGCATCCGCCATGCGTGAGCATGCTGCCATGTGTGAGCATCCGCCATGCGTGAGCATTCCGCCATGCGTGAGCATCCGCCGTGCGTGAGCATGCCGCCGTGTGTGAGCATGCCACCGTCCCGTTGCCTGCTGCCTTCTCCAGCGTTGACTGCCGTGGCTCCAACCCCAAACTGTGCCAAGTGCTCACTGGAGTCTGGTGCTTGCAGGGCTAACATCTGCTCCCTTGCTCCATTGCCCCCTTTGGCTGGGCTGTGGGGCGCGGCTCATCCCCGGTGACAGGTGCAGTGGGGCGAGATATCGATGGTGGACGCGGAGAGGCGCCTGCTGGAGGCGGCGGTGCAGGACGAGACCAACCGCTTCTTTGTGCTGCTCAGCGAGAGGTGCGAGGTGCGAGGTATTGCTGCTCAGTGAGAGGTGTGACCTACTGGTGGGATAGTGCTCATTGAGAGGTGCGAGGTGTTCTTGCGGCTGTCACAATGTGCTGTTGAGGTACGCTTTCGTTTGAGGCTAGGACTTCACTTCTCCCTCTCACCTTCCTTGATACTAATGCCAGCCACCTATCCATCCATGCCACATGCCACATGCCACATGCCACATGCCACATGCCACGTGCCACATGCCACGGGCCACATGTCACATGCCACATGCCACATACCATGGGCCACATGCCACATGCCACATGCCACAGGCCACATGCCACATGCCACATGCCACGGGCCACGGGCCACATGCCACGGGCCACCATGTTCCTCCTCGACCTTGCCTTGCCTCTCCACCTTCAATCCCTTCCATGGTCCATCTCCCCCACCTGCCGCCTGTCTCTTCCCCCCCCTGTCTGCCCGTCAGCTGCATCCCCTTGTGGCCGTTCGACTACATCTACAGCTACATCGCCTCCTCCTCTCTCAGCTTCGTTGACGCGTCAGTGCCCCTCTCCCCCTCCCCGCTGCCGCTCCCTGCTTCCATCAATCAATCGCTCTCATGCATGGCAATGGCACTCTGCATGCCACTGCTATGCATGACACGCTGCATATACACCCTCTCCCCATATAACATGCCATACCCCCACTTTCCCCCTCTCCCCCCCTCCCCCCCCCCCCCAAACGCACACAGCTACCCCGATCCATACAACATGTCGTTTGGGCGCTACATCCCGCACATATTCATGCCCGTCATCCGGAGACGACAATTCCTCAAAGGCAACCAGGTGCGCATCCGCATGGCCTCAGGCTAATGGGAGCAATGGTGTGAGCAGGCACCACCGTGGAACATTGTTTCCTTCCACTCGTTTCTCCACCCTAATCTCTTTCGTGCGTTAACTCACAAGGCGCGACCGACTGTTGTCCGCTGTGCTGTTGCAATTCCAAACTATTTGTGATGCGATGTTGTTCGTTTGTCAGTCGATGCCATGCCTCTAATGATGCAATGTGCCATGGCGTATGTTATCTCCATGAATGTCATGCGTATTAATGCACATGAATGCACATGAATGCACATGGATGCACATGGATGCACATGGATGCACATGAATGCACATGAATGCACATGAATGCACATGAATGCACATGGATGCACATGGATGCACATGAATGCACATGAATGCACATGAATGCACATGAATGCACATGGATGCACACCATGGCATGCACATGGCATCAGTGGTTCATCCTGAGGCGACGCCATGCGGAGTTGGTGGTGAGGGACACGTTGCACTACACCAAGCACAACCTCAGCTGCGCGGTTAGTATTCTCCGTATCACCCTTTATGCTCTCAGTTCCGCCTTAGTTGCCCCTTACGCTGTCAGTTCCACCTTAGTTGCCCCTTACGCTGTCAGTTCCGCCTTAGTTGCCCCTTACGCTGTCAGTTCCACCTTAGTTGCCCCTTACGCTGTCAGTTCCGCCTTAGTTGCCCCTTACGCTGTCAGTTCCGCCTTAGTTGCCCCGTATGCTGTCAGTTCCGCCATAGTTGCCCCTTATGCTGTCAGTTCCGCCTTAGTTGCCCCTTATGCAGGCTCCTCTGCTCTGTGTCGAGTTTATGCCCCTCAATTTATTTCCTTTCGATGCTGTGCATTGCCAACATGCTCTATGACCCATGTCCCATGGCCCGTGACCCATGACCCATGACCCATTCTAAATGCCCCGTGTCCTATTTCCCATGGCGCATAACCATAGCCATAAACATAACCCATGCCCCACACTGCCCCTTGCCCCATTTCCCATGACTTATAACCCATGCCCCATGCCATGCCCCATGCCCCATGCCCCATGCCCATGCCCCATGCCCCATGCCCCATGCCCCATGCCCCAGGACACATCTCCCATAACCCATGCGCCACGCCCTATGCCCCATGTCCCACTACCCATGCCCCATGCACCCACATGTTGGCAGTTTCGGTTGCAGTGGGGCAAGCTGTGCTGTGCGGATGAGCACTACATCCAAACGCTCTTACATGTAAGTCACACCATTGCCTCGCTCTGGTGTCCCGCTCTTCCCCGTGGTGCATGCGATGTGTGCCTGCTTCATCCAGCCTCTCACTTCATACCTCCGCCTGTCGAACCCCCACGCATCCTGCACCTGCTCTCCGCAACCTCTTTACACGGCAGACCCTCGCCGTATCTTCTCCTGCCACCCGACCACCTTTTCGGACTGGAGTTGCCAATGAGACGACCTTTGAGTCCACTCTCAAGCCACCCCACCATGCCCCCCCGCCATTCCCCCCGCCATGCCCCGCTGCCCTGCCACCCCTGTGTCGGCACAGATGACCAACCCCGCCGGCATTTCCCGCTACCCGACCACCTTTGCGGACTGGAGCGCCAACGAGTGGCACCCGACCACCTACTATGCTCCAAACATGACTGATGACGTCATCAGGACCATCAAGGTAAGGCATCCCATCCCTCTTGGCGCTTTCTTGCTCGTGAATGCCCCCTGTGCCCCGTGAATGCCCCGTGCCCCGTGAATGCCCCCTGCGCCTCGTGAAGCGTGCATTTGCTGCCTTTGCTGTGCCTCTGCTGCTCTCATTTGGTCCTTGCCCTGCGCCTTTTGCCACCCTCCATGTGCCGCCTTTTTAATGTTCTCACTTGTTGCATCCTCTGCATTGCCCTTCCACCCCCCATGCATTGCCCTTCCACACCCCACGCAATGCGCTTCCACCCCGCATGGCGATGCCCACTCAAGGTCCCCTTACCACCCCCCCTGTAACCCCTTGCACTCCATCCCTCCCCCCCTTGCCCCTCTCTCCCCTTGATACCCGTGGCAGTCGGCACGGGAGTTCATCACGTACCGCTCATTCTGGAACGACTTCCAAGACAACTACACGCATGTATGTGTGGCCAACTACTTTGCATGTGCAAGTTAATATCAGAGTGCACAGAGCCTCTTTTTGAGGCGCCTCAAAAGTTAATATCAGAGTGCACAGAGCCTCTTTTTGAGGCGCCTCAAAAGTTAATATCAGAGTGCACAGAGCCTCTCTGCAAAAAGGTGCAGGCAATCAGCATGTATGGCAATCATCACTGGCCACATTGGTTGGTACCACATTGGTTGTTGCCCTCCGCATGCATCCATGCTGCTGTGCACCGGGTGAGTACTCGTCATTCATGCCCATGCCTCTGTGCCCATGCCTCTGTGCCCATGCCTCCCCTCTCTTTCCCCTCTCTCCCTCTCTCCCTCTCTCTCCCCTCTCTCTCCCCTCTTTCTCTCCTCTCTCCCCTCTCTCTCCCCTCTCTCTCCCCACTCTCTCCCCACTCTCTCCCCACTCTCTCCCCTCTCTCTCCCCTCTCTCCCCTCTCTCTCCCCTCTCTCTCCCCTCTCTCTATCCCCTCTCTCCCACCTCTCTGTGGTGCATGGCCCATCCGCACAGATAACCGACCCCAACGCGCCGCAGCCTCCTCTGGTGAGTCCTGCGCGCATCAGACACCATATCTCGAATCATAATTCCTTTTCCGAGAATCTTCTCGTCTTCATTCGCTTCATTCGCGTGGCTCGGCCAAATGAGCATGTGCGCTACTCCCTTCCCCGCCAGGGAGTTACCAGCAGCCATGTGTGCTGCAGGGGCAGCCGTGCAACTGCTTCCTCATCTGGCACCCCCCCTATTCCCACTTCCTTTTCTGCGTGTGCGCTGCTTCCCCCCCCACACCGCCAGGCGGTTGCCAACGGGCACTGTGTGGTGCAGGGGGAGCCGCGCAACTGCTTCCTCTTCGCGCGCAAGTTCCACCCGTCAGCGCTGCCCTTCCTCATGCGCAAGTCACTAGCCCTCCTCGGGTTCTAGGTCTGCAGCGTGTGCCTTTTTCTCCAAAATCGCTCACAAGTTCCACCCATCAGCTACCATATTCTATTCCTCAATGCGCAAGTCGCAAGCCCTCCTCGGGACCTGAGTTCCAGCGTTTAGGGCTGACCTGGGCACCTCTGGTGCCCGAGGTGAAACCCAGAGCACCTGAGCAGCAGCATCGTCTGCAGTGCGTATCCATCACGCTCTTGAACGACAAGCAATGTACTCTTACAGCTCACAGTTGAAAAGGCCGGGTCGCGTTGGAACCGGAAGGCCAGTGGTGCCCGCAATTATCAGGAGGACAGTTGAGGAGGAATGATTGCAGAGGAATCGCCCATCGACATGCCGAATTGGAAATGTACATATTAGTCATTTGTGCTTGATCGTGCACCCGTTTTGAGTTGTGTTGTAGTGTTAGGAATCTGCTATGGGTTGCTCTGGGTTGCTCTGGAGGTGGTGATGGAGTTTTACAGGGTCGCACCGCCAGGCATATGGCAGTGGGAGTTTGTGCCAGTAGGTTTAAGCTTCTAGGAAAAGTACAATTTTGTAGTGTTATAGAGATATGATTGTTATTGAACACCAATAAGCGATAGGAGTTAGATGGAGCTGTAGAAGTGCTGGTTTGTAAGCTTCAAGCTCCAAGCGAGCTGGGTGAATACTGAAACGCGGATGAAATTGCCTGGGACTTGCCCACGAATCCAGGCGCACCACTGGCTCAAGTCACATTGCAAAAAAATAGTTTCGCTGTGGATTTTCCAGCACGGGCGCGAAAGCCAGCACGAGGCAGCCCCACATGAAGCAGCTCCAGGCGACGTAGCGAGAGACGTAGCGGCGATGGGTAACCAGCTGGTGATCGCGAAGCCGGCGAGCGTGGCGTCGGACTACTGGCTGCACGACCTGCCGCGCGGCGTGGTGCTGAAGGACGTGCTGGCGCCGGGCCGCTTCCTCAAGACGCTCGAGTGCTTCCACCACGAGGGCCGCGTCGTCGTCAAGGTCTTCCTCAAGCGCGCCGAGCTCGCCGTGCCGCTACAGGCAAGTCCACGGCCTGTGGGGCTCGGGACGCGTGCGGGGTGACCGTCGAATTCGATTAGGACACGCTTGAGTGTCGCCGCACGCGATCAGGACGCGCGAACGGCGCGGGGAGAAATCGACCGCCCCACTCGATCAGGTCGCTGCTTGGGGTAACGGCGCTGGTGAAACAAGTTGGGGGCTCGCCTCTAAATGGGGGCCGGCAGCATGCCCGATGGACTCCCTCCCTGCATGCCGAGTTCTTACCCCCATCCCACGCTGTGCCCTGCCCCGTGCCCCAGCAGGCGTACGAGCAGCAGCTGAAGGTCATCCGCCACCGGCTCTCAGGCATCGACCAGTCGCACGTCTGGCCCTTCCAGGTGCGCCCACTCCCCGCACCACTGCCCGCCCTTCCAGGTACGCCCTGCCCTTCCAGGTACGCCCTGTCCTTCCAGTCCTTCCAGCTACGCCCTGCCCTTCCAGGTACGCCCTGCCCGTCCAGTTGCGCCCTGCCCGTCCAGGTGCGCCCTGCCCTTCCAGGTGCGCTCTGCCCTTCCAGGTGAGCCCTGCCCGTCCAGTTGCGCCCTGCCCGTCCAGGTGCGCCCTGCACCTGCCCCCTGGACCTCCCTCCTGCACCACTGCCCCATGCGCCACTGCCCCACGCGCCACTGCTCCATGCGCCACTGCCCCATGCGCCACTGCTCCATGCGTCTCTCCTCTCACCCCTGCTGTCAACCCTCCCACTGTCCCGTCGCCCACTGGCCCCTCGCCCACTCACTGCCCTCCCCCTCCGCCAGAAGTGGTACGAGACGGAGCGGGCGGCGTACCTGCTGCGGCAGTACCTCTTCAGCACACTGCACGACCGCCTTGGCACGCGGCCCTTCCTCGGCCTCACCTTCAAGAAGTGGATCGCCTTCCAGGTGCGTGCCCCCGTGAGGGTCGCCTTCCAGGAGTGTTGCTCTGTTACTCACTCACTCTGAGCCTTCCAAGTCCGCCGTTCTCAGGCGCTCTGCACTGCGCGTGTGTGGTCGTTCATCCCTGCAAAGATAGTTCATCCCTGCAAAGATAGTTCATCCCTGCAAAGATAGTTCATCCCTGCAAAGATAGTTCATCCCTGCAAAGATAGTTCATCCCTGCAAAGATAGTTCCGCAACACGCCTTCTCTGCATGCAGACACGTATGTATTCCCCCTTCCTCCCTTCGCTTGCTGACCCCCCTTCCATCTCTTCCCTCCGTCTCTCCCCGGCCCAACTCTCTCTCGTGTTGTGTTGTGCTGTGTGCACCACGATCAGATTCTTAAGGCGCTGGACCAGGCGCACTCGCGAGGCGTCTGCCATGGTGCGACACCCTCCCGTCCACTGCACTCCGCCTCGCTCACCCCTCTGCACCTCACCCCTCTGCACCTCACCCCTCTGCACCTCACCCCTCTGCCTTTCCACTTCACATGCACCATCACCTGCCTTTTCTTATCCCCACATTTTCGTTCCTTATCCATCCCCTCTTTGTTGTTCCATCCCCTCCTTGTTGTTCCTTACCCCCTCGTTGTTGTTCCTTACCCCTCGTTGTTGTTCCTTACCCCTCGTTGTTGTTCCTTACCCCTCGTTGTTGTTCCTTACCCCTCGTTGTTGTTCCTTACCCCTCGTTGTTGTTCCTTACCCCTCGTTGTTGTTCCTTACCCCTCGTTGTTGTTCCTTACCCCTCGTTGTTGTTCCTTACCCCTCGTTGTTGTTCCTTACCCCTCGTTGTTGTTCCTTACCCCTCGTTGTTGTTCCTTACCCCTCGTTGTTGTTCCTTACCCCTCGTTGTTGTTCCTTACCCTCGTTGTTGTTTTTCGTTGTTGTTCCTTACCCCTCGTTGTTGTTCCTTACCCCTCGTTGTTGTTCCTTACCCCTCGTTGTTGTTCCTTACCCCTCGTTGTTGTTCCTTACCCTCGTTGTTGTTCCTTACCCCTCGTTGTTGTTCCTTACCCCTCGTTGTTGTTCCTTACCCCTCGTTGTTGTTCCTTACCCCTCGTTGTTGTTCCTTACCCCTCGTTGTTGTTCCTTACCCCTCGTTGTTGTTCCTTACCCCTCGTTGTTGTTCCTTACCCCTCGTTGTTGTTCCTTACCCCTCGTTGTTGTTCCTTACCCCTCGTTGTTGTTCCTTACCCCTCGTTGTTGTTCCTTACCCCTCGTTGTTGTTCCTTACCCCTCGTTGTTGTTCCTTACCCCTCGTTGTTGTTCCTTACCCCTCGTTGTTGTTCCTTACCCCTCGTTGTTGTTCCTTACCCCTCGTTGTTGTTCCTTACCCCTCGTTGTTGTTCCTTACCCCTCGTTGTTGTTCCTTACCCCTCGTTGTTGTTCCTTACCCCTCGTTGTTGTTCCTTACCCTCGTTGTTGTTTTTTTTTTCCTTATCGTTGTTGTTCCTTACCCCTCGTTGTTGTTCCTTACCCCTCGTTGTTGTTCCTTACCCCTCGTTGTTGTTCCTTACCCCTCGTTGTTGTTCCTTACCCCTCGTTGTTGTTCCTTACCCCTCGTTGTTGTTCCTTACCCCTCGTTGTTGTTCCTTACCCCTCGTTGTTGTTCCTTACCCCTCGTTGTTGTTCCTTACCCCTCGTTGTTGTTCCTTACCCCTCGTTGTTGTTCCTTACCCCTCGTTGTTGTTCCTTACCCCTCGTTGTTGTTCCTTACCCCTCGTTGTTGTTCCTTACCCCTCGTTGTTTTTGTTGTTCCTTACCCCTCGTTGTTGTTCCTTACCCCTCGTTGTTGTTCCTTACCCCTCGTTGTTGTTCCTTACCCCTCGTTGTTGTTCCTTACCCCTCGTTGTTGTTCCTTACCCCTCGTTGTTGTTCCTTACCCCTCGTTGTTGTTCCTTACCCCTCGTTGTTGTTCCTTACCCCTCGTTGTTGTTCCTTACCCCTCGTTGTTGTTCCTTACCCCTCGTTGTTGTTCCTTACCCCTCGTTGTTGTTCCTTACCCCTCGTTGTTGTTCCTTACCCCTCGTTGTTGTTCCTTACCCCTCGTTGTTGTTCCTTACCCCTCGTTGTTGTTCCTTACCCCTCGTTGTTGTTCCTTACCCCTCGTTGTTGTTCCTTACCCCTCGTTGTTGTTCCTTACCCCTCGTTGTTGTTCCTTACCCCTCGTTGTTGTTCCTTACCCCTCGTTGTTGTTCCTTACCCCTCGTTGTTGTTCCTTACCCCTCGTTGTTGTTCCTTACCCCTCGTTGTTGTTCCTTACCCCTCGTTGTTGTTCCTTACCCCTCGTTGTTGTTCCTTACCCCTCGTTGTTGTTCCTTACCCCTCGTTGTTGTTCCTTACCCCTCGTTGTTGTTCTTTTTGTTTTCCTTACCCCTCGTTGTTGTTCCTTACCCCTCGTTGTTGTTCCTTACCCCTCGTTGTTGTTCCTTACCCCTCGTTGTTGTTCCTTACCCCTCGTTGTTGTTCCTTACCCCTCGTTGTTGTTCCTTACCCCTCGTTGTTGTTCCTTACCCCTCGTTGTTGTTCCTTACCCCTCGTTGTTGTTCCTTACCCCTCGTTGTTGTTCCTTACCCCTCGTTGTTGTTCCTTACCCCTCGTTGTTGTTCCTTACCCCTCGTTGTTGTTCCTTACCCCTTCTTGTTGTTGCCTGATTCCTTCTTCACCTCCCCCTATCCGTTAACGCCACCTGTCACCTCCGTTCACACGGGTGGCAGGCTTCTCATGCCGTCCCGCCATCTGCGTGCGAGAGGCACCTTCTGTGGTACATGCTACGTGCCACCTCACCTCCCTCCTCACGCGCGCCACCCCCTTGTCACTCACATCACGCCGTGTGCAGTTGGCTTGCTCAATTCCGGCTTCTTCTCGGGCTATCCTGCGAGTGGCCGTGCTAGGAGCTGCCTGCTTGCGTGGCGCTCAAGTCCATCCCCGCAATGCTGTCCCTTCCCAGATTTTCACGCCTCACACCCTTCCCATGCGCCCTTCACCCCCCACCCCACTGTTGTTGGTGATTTTTTAGCATTCAAACAAATCCCCCATTTTTCTTGCATCCCCACCACCCGGCGACCTCAAGAGCGACAAGCTGTGCGTCGCCGCATGCCACTGCCGCTGCATCTGCTCTGCTGGACTGCCCGCCCTTCAAAGCCCATGTGTGCGCCCATCCCCGCCGCCAAACAACCCCGCCATCTCACGCCCCGTGTGTGCTCCCCTGCCGGCCAGGCGACCTCAAGATTGGCAACGTGTGTGTGACGGCGTGGCACTGGGTGTACCTGGTGGACTGGGCGCCCTTCAAGCCCGTGCTCGTGCCTGCAGGCAACTCCTCTCACCAGGCATCCCTTGTGCTCGCATCCCTTGTGCTCACATCCCTTGTGCACTCCCATGCTCACCAGGCGACCTGAAGAGTGACAACGTGTGTGTGACGGCATGGCACTGGGTGTATCTGGTGGACTGGGCGCCCTTCAAGCCTGTGCTCGTGCCAGCCGACAACCCCGCCATCTTCTCCTTCTTCTTTGACACCGGCCCCGGCGGCCGCCGCCGCTGCTGCATCGCCCCGGAGGTGCTCCCACACGCCCACCATGCTTGCCACTTCCTCCTTGCCATTGGATCCACTTGGCCCCATGTGTCGTTGGGTCCACATGCTCGTACTCACCTGTGAGGCCTGGTGCTGCATGCATGTGCCGTGGGGTGTGTTCGGGCATGCTTACTGCTGGGGTACGTGAATGCATGATACTGGGACATGTCGAGATGCATGGCATGGCATGATGGCATGGTGGCATGATGGCATGATGGCATGGTGGCATGATGGCATGGTGGCATGATGGCATGATGGCATGGTGGCATGATGGCATGGTGGCATGATGGCATGATGGCATGGTGGCATGATGGCATGGTGGCATGATGGCATGGTGGCATGATGGCATGGTGGCATGGTGGCATGATGGCATGGTGGCATGATGGCATGATGGCATGGCAGCGGTTTGTGACAGCAAGCGAGTGGAGGCAGAGTCAGAGCGAAGGAGGGGGTTCGGGTGCACAGTTGCAGCCAGCCATGGATGTGTTTTCCGCGGGGTGAGTGAGGGGAAGTTCACAATGAGACGGGCCGACGAGGGTGCTGCTACACCTGGCCGCAAAGGTGTTGCGCTTATTCTGCTTCTGGTGTACTGGTTTACCTCTTTACCGCTTTACCGGTTTTGCATGTGTTGGGTGCATCCCATCCCATCCTCATTTATCTCCAAGAGTTCCACCTTCTAACGAGATTGATTTTCCTCATTTTTCCTCCCGGAAAGTTGCGCACCTCATTGTACTCCTCTCATGGTCTCTTTGCATGCTTCATCCTTTATGTGTCAACTCCAACTCAATTGTAAAGCTTGCCATGCGCACCCCTCCCCCCAGCTGTGTGATGTTGGAGATGGTTTCTGAAAGGCGAGGTGCTCTTTGACCCCATTCCCTCCCCCCGCCCCTCCCTCCCGTCCTTCCCCCTCCCCCCCAGGTGTGTGATAGCGGAGATGTTTCTGGACGGCGAGGTGCTCTTCGACCTCTCCTCGCTGCTCGCATACGTCCACGGCGCTTACAACCCTCAATCGCGCATTGACCGGGTACGACCCACTCTCTTGTTGACTGGGTATGAACCACCCTCTCGTTGACCGGGTATGACCCACCCTCTTGTTGACCAGGTATGACCCACCCCCTTGTTGATCGGGTATGACCCACCCTGCTGTTGACCGGGTATGACCGACCCTATTGTTGACCCGGTATGACCCACCCTATTGTTGACCGGGTATGACCCACCCTCTCGTTGACCGGGTATGACCCACCCCCTTGTTGATCGGGTATGACCCACCCCGTTGTTGACCGGGTATGACCCACCCTATTGTTGACCGGGTATGACCCACCCTCTTGTTGACCAGGTATGACCCACCCTATTGTTGACTGGGTATGAACCACCCTCTCGTTGACCAGGTATGACCCACCCTCTTGTTGACCGGGTATGACCCACCCCCTTGTTGATCGGGTATGACCCACCCTGCTGTTGACCAGGTATGACCCACCCTATTGTTGACCCGGTATGACCCACCCTATTGTTGACCAGGTATGACCCACCCTCTCGTTGACCGGGTATGACCCACGCCCTTGTTGATCGGGTATGACCCACCCAATGTTGACCGGGTATGACCCACCCTATTGTTGACCGGGTATGACCCACCCTATTGTTGACCCGGTATGACCCACCCTATTGTTGACCGGGTATGACCCACGCTCTTGTTGACCAGGTATGACCCACCCCCTTGTTGACCGGGTATGACCCACCATATTGTTGACCGGTATGACCCACCCTCTTGTTGACCAGGTATGACCCACCCCAATGTTGACCGGGTATGACCCGCCCTATTGTTGACCGGGTATGACCCACCCTATTGTTGACCCGGTGTGACTCACCCTCTTGTTGACCAGGTATGACCCACCCTATTGTTGACCCGGTGTGACTCACCCTCTTGTTGACCAGGTATGACCCACCCTATTGTTGACGGGGTATGACCCACCCTATTGTTGACCCGGTATGACCCACCCTATTGTTGACCGGGTATGACCCACCCTCTTGTTGACCAGGTATGACCCACCCCCTTGTTGATCGGGTATGACCCACCCTATTGTTGACCAGTCGTGCCACCTGCTAGCGAGTTTGGGCCATTGTACCTTCGTCTCCGCCAAGCCATGCAACCCTTCTCTTGCCCAAACCCCTTTGCGTGCTGCACGCACCAACACCCCTCCCCCCCCTTGTCAGATCAAGTGCCCCTCAGTGCGGGCCCCGGGGGCGCCCATGGTGCAGAGGGACCCCTTGCACCACCGGCCTGCCACCCATGGCCCACTGTACCATCTTGTCGCTTTTCTCTCCCCCCCCCCGAATGCAGATCCCATGCCCCTCGGTGCGAGCGCTGGTGGCGCACATGGTGCAGAGGGATCCCTCGCACCGCCTGCCGGCTGCGGCGTACCTGTCGGCCTTCAGCGACCCCCTCGGTGGCGGAGGGGCGCTCTTCCCGCAGCCCGCGTTTGACACGCTCCACGATGAGCTCTTCTGCCGCCTGCCCTCCCTGGATGCCGACGGGCGGGTGCGTATGCTGTGATGTGGCGGTGCTGTGATGGGGGTGGTGATGGTGGGTTATCAGTGCCGCACGCGGGACAGTGCTCTCCTCCCGCAGCCCACCTTGGGCGTGGTCCGCGATGACCTCTTCTGCTGCCTGCCCGCCCTGGATGCCGATGGGCGGGTGAGATGTGGTGATGGTGTGGTGGTGACGGAATGAAAAGAAAGGGCGATGGGGTAGTGCGATGGGGTAGTGTGAGGGGTAGTGTGATGGGGTAGTGTGATGGGGTAGTGTGATGGGTAGTGTGAGGGGGTAGTGTGAGGGGGTAGTGTGAGGGGGTAGTGTGAGGGGTAGTGTGAGGGGGTAGTGTGAGGGGGGTGTGGGAGGAGGGGGTGGTGGGAAAAGAAAGGGCGATGTGATGGGGTAGTGTGAGGGGGTGATGGGAGGAGGTCGTGAGGGTCGTGGCTGGTTGGGGGGCATGGCTGGCTGGGGGGCATGGCTGGCTGGGGGGCATGGCTGGCTGGGGGGCATGGCTGGCTGGGGGGCATGGCTGGCTGGGGGGCATGGCTGGCTGGGGGGCATGGCTGGCTGGGGGGCATGGCTGGCTGGGGGGCATGGCTGGCTGGGGGGCATGGCTGGCTGGGGGGCATGGCTGGCTGGGGGGCATGGCTGGCTGGGGGGCATGGCTGGCTGGGGGGCATGGCTGGCTGGGGGGCATGGCTGGCTGGGGAGCATGGGTGGCTGGGGAGCATGGGTTACAAAGCACGACTTCTCTCGCACCCGACGTATATTTTTAACTTTACCCGCGTCTCCTTGTGGTCTCTTTCCCCGCCCCCTCCCCCAGATAGCCTTCACCCGCCAGCTCTACCCGCGCCTATCTCGCGTCATCGCTGCCTCGCTGCACGGCCAAGGGGAGGGGGAAGGGGAGGGGGAGGGCGGGGAGGGCGGGGAGGGCAGGGCTGGGGAAGTGGAGAGGGGGGAGAGTGGGGAAGAAGATGATGGGGAGCCGGGGAGTGATCAGGAGGAAATAGCAGAGGGAAGGGGAGCGGAGGAGAGAGCACTAGAGCGGGGGAGTGAGGAAGGGGGTCTTGTTGTGCAAGTAGAGAGCAGTGGCAGGGAGAGTGATAGGAGTGAGCAGGGCGGCAGCACTGGGCATGATGATGCCACAGGCGGCACTGTAGCTGCTGCTGGCACCGGAGCAAGAGAAAGCGCGGTGCCATCGCAAAGAGCCAGCACGGCCACATGGGGGGGTAGCGACAGCATGAGTGGGGCGGTGGGCAACAGCGGCAGCGCCATGGTGCTGCTGGTGGGGCTGCTCACCGCATGCCTGCGCAACGCCCGCCTGCCGCACTCGCGCCGCCACTGCCTGCTGCTCCTGCAGTCCGCCGCGCACCAGTGCTCCGATGCGGTCTGCCTGCAAGCCATCGCGCCCTTCGTGGTGGCTGTGCTCGCTCAAGACGGGCTCACATCAGCCTCCCCGCTGCACTCGCTGGATGGGCTGGTGGGCGCGCTGGCCAACCCGCCTGTGGTGCGCTGCACCGCGCTGCACGTGCTCACAGGGCTGTTGGCGCGCGTGCGCTCCTTCCCCTCCACTGATGCGCGCTTCTTCCCCGAGTACCTGCTGCCCTCGATCTCGCTGCTCCCCCGCGCGCCCGATGAGAGCGTGCGCGCGGCGCTCGCCCTGTGCCTGCCCGCCCTCGCTGCGTCGGCGCTGCGCTTCCTGCTGCTGGCCGCGGGGGACAGGCGGGCGAGTGGAGGGAGGGAGGCGGCGAATGAAGAGGGGGTGAGCGGCAGTGACAGCGAGGCTAGCGCTGCTGCGAGGGAGGGTTGGAGTGGCTGCGAGGGCAACAACGACAGCACAGGCAAGAACGGCACCAGCAACGTGCCGGCGTTGCCTGTGCCGGCCTCCAGTCTCCCCCCGTCCCACTGGGCCAGCAGTGGCGCCACTCTCGCCACCCTCAAAGCCCTGGCAGCAGCAGCGGAGTGCCTCCCCTCGCAGCATGCGCCCGAGCTGGCAGAGCTGCGAGAGGCGGTGCGCATAGCAGTGGAGGAGCTCGCCACGCTCCCCCGCAGCACGCCGCCCATCCGCCTCACCCTCCTGCACCACGCGCCCGCCCTCGCTGTCTCCTGGGCGTGCCTCTGGCCACCAGCGCTCTGCTCCCGCTGCTCATCACGTTCCTCAACGACCCCTCCCCCCGCGTGCGCACCGCCTTCTTCCACTCCCTCCCCGCCCTCTGCCCGCACGTCTCCCCCTCCGCCCTGCCTGCCTTCCTCCTGCCTTGCCTCGAGCAGGCCCTGGGGGACCCCTCCGATTCCTCTGTGCCTGCCGCTGCTGCCGCCTGCCTTGCTCTACTCGCCCGCTCCCACCACCTGCAGCAGCGGCGGTCGCTGCTGTCTGCTGTGAGGCACGTGGCGCCGCTGCTGCGCCACCCGGGGAAGGATGTGCGGGACGCTGCTGTGGCGTTTGCTGCTGCCGCTGCCGGGGAGTTGAAGCCTGCTGACGCCCATGCGCTGCTGCTGCCGCTGCTCTCCCCCTCCCTGCGCTACCGCCCCGCGCTCGTCACCTCCCATGCCTCCCTTGCTGCTGCCCTCAAACCACCGCTCTCAACCCATCCGGCCTTCCCAAACCAGCCATCCTTTTCGACTCAACCACCACCAGCCGCCAGGCAGGCCAGCGCGTCGCAAGCAGCATCTGACCCCCTCATGCCCCACATGCACTCTGCAGTATTTGCCACAGGTGCTGCTGCTTCTGCTGCTGCTGCCGTGGGTCATTATAGGGAACCTGTTGTTGCTGCCAGCACCGGTGCTGCTGATGGTGCCCGTGGTGGTGTCGCGGGGGAGAGTGGGCAGGTTGCAGCAGCGGTGGGAGATGGTGGTGTGTGTAGTAGAGGGATCCGAGGCAGGGAGGAAGGAGTTGGGGCGACGCAAGGACAGAGTGCGGTGGAGGCGGGTGTGGCAGATGTGACAAGTACAGGGCAGGGAGGGAGCGAGCCAGCAGCATCATCACAACAGCAGGGCCAGCTGCAGTCGCCTGCAGAAATTGCATCGTCAATACATGCACACTCTTTCTCGCACTCCCTGTCAGCGCCACACGGTGCACGTCCTGTAGGCACAGGCCCAGTGGGCGCGGGTCCAGCAGCGCCATACACGGCCATGGCTGCTGCATATGCCAGCATGCGGCGCGACATGGGCCAGCCATGGCCCTCGCTCCCACCCAGCACTCCCTGGCCCGCCACACCCCTCCATGGCGCCCCACCTGCCCCATGGCCCGCCGCATCCCACTCTCTTCTCGTCCCCCCCCTCCCTCCCCTCCACCCCTCCATCTCTCCACTCCAACCTCTTCGATTCCCTTCTCCTCGCCCCGCGTCCTCTCCTCTCTCCCTCTCCCTCTCCCTCTCCCTCCACCGCCCCCCTCCCCCCCCAACCACCCTCCCGCCCTCCACCCTCACCTCCTCCGCCACTCTCCGCCCCTTTCCCGCCCATCCCCTCTCCCCCCACTCCCTTCCCCCCTTACATGCGCCCCTTGGTCCCTCTGCCCCGTCGCTCCCCTCGCCCTCCTCTCCCCCCTCCCCCCACTCGCCCTCTGCGTCCTTCTCTCCCCCCCCTGCCAGCCCGGACACCCACCTGGCGCTGGACCTGCCGTCCCTCGCCGTGCCGCTCTACTCCCTCGCGCACGCCTCCCCCTCGCTGCCCGCCTCTGCCTCCACCTCTGCGCTGCCCTCCGCCTCCCTCTCGCCCCCCTCTCTGCCTCCCCTCCCCTCAACCCTCTCACGCTCTGCCTCGCCCACTGCCCCTCTTGCTGCAGCTGCCCCTCTTGCTGCAGCTGCCCCTCTTGCTGCAGCTGCCCCTCTTGCTGCAGCTGCCCCTCTTGCTGCCACTGGAGCAGCTGCGGCCCCTGCAGCCTCTGCTGCTGGTTCAGGGAGAGCCAATCTAGGTGCGGCGTCAGGTGCACAAGCTGCTGCTGTTCCAGCTGCTGCGGTTGCGGCTGCAGCAACTGCTGCTGCTGCTGGCACGCCTGACTCTGCCTCTAAGACTGCATCCCCACCAGTTGAGCCTGCATCACTCAGTCAAGCCAACGCTCAGCTCAGCGCACACCGCGAGTCCAATGCGGAAGCATGCAAGCAGTCCAATGGTGCATCTGCTGCAGCGCTCCAACCACCTTCCACCAACCTCTCATCTCCCTCCGATCTTCCCTTCGCCTTCGATTCTCTGGACGACCTCCCCTCTCCCTCTCCTACCGCTTCCCCTCACCATACTGCCCCCTCTGCCGCCCATCCGTCCCTCCCTTCACCCATTACCCCTGTTACCCCTGCCACACCCACTGCACCCACCACCACTGCACTCACCACCTCTGCACCCACCACCACCGCACACACTCCCACTCTATCCGCGCCTCCCTCCTCTCACGCCCTCCCTACTGGTTCCTCGCTTCTTCCCCACACGGTGCTCGGTCCACCTCCTGCCGCCCACCCCCCTGTGCCTGTGGCCCACTCGCTTGTCTTCCTGGGCACCACTCAGCCCCACACTCGCATCTCCTCCCTGTCCCACTCCCTCCGCTCCTCCCGCCGCTTCCCCTCGTTCACCCACCCTGCTCCTCAAACCCTGCCTGCTGCCATGCCTGCTGGCATGCCTGCAGCAGAGGTTCGGCGGGGAGGCGGTGTCGAGGGGTCGACAGGGGAGGAAGAGAGCAGTGGCGGGCTTGAGAGAGGAGCAGCAGGGGGAGGGAGAGAGGCGCAGAAGGCGGTGTTGGAGAGGCAGACGGCAGCAGATGGTGGAGCTCAAGTTGACGTGCCTGCGCTTGCTGCACAGCCAGCCCAGGCAGCCCAGCCATGGGTGCCTGCTCGCACCGCAGCTCATCACCCTGCCATGCCGCCTGCCACCACTGCTTCTGCTCATCTCACGGAACCACGTGGGGCAAACCTGGGGCCCACTGGGCGTGCACAGCTGCCAGCAGCACAGCCAGCAGCAGACGCGGAGGCAGGGGCAGGGCGGCAGCGCCTGCAGCAGTGAGCGAGGAGGTGCAGCGGCTGCTGGGGTGGGGCAGTGCGGACGACGGCCCAGCCATGCTGCCCTGCGCCCCCTCGCCGTCGTCTGTCTCGCAGGCTGCTCTGTGGCGGCCGCGCGGAGTGCTGGTAGCGCAGCTGCAGGAGCACACAGCGGCGGTCAACGCGCTCGCTGTGGCGCCCAACAGCCACTGGTTCGCGTCGGCATCGGACGACGGCGCGGTTAAGGTGTGGGACGGCACGCGCGTGGACCGGGGTACCACCTTCCGCTCGAAACTCACGTACGCGCCCGGGGGAGGGGGAGGGGGAGGTGGAGGGGTGGGGCAGGGGGAGCTGGAGGCGGAGGGGGAGCAGGAGGGGGGGCAGGGCGGGCGACATCGGTGGCTGTGATGGGGGACAGTGCGACAGCAGTGGTTGGGTATTCGAGCGGGGAGGTACACGTCGTGCATGTGGACTATGTGCCTCGCTTCCTCGGCACACATGAGGCCTACAAGGGCGTCACCAGAGTGCCGTCCGTGGAGCCCTCCTCAGGCCTCTGTCCGGGTCACTGTGGCCCCACTGGCAGGCGTGGGTCTATCCTCTCTGTCCAATCCTGGGCGGGCTCCCACCTCGGCGCCTCCCAACCCTGCTCCCTTTCCGCCTCCTCCTCCTCGCTCTTCACCTCCAACCCCCTCTCCTCCTCGCACTCGCTGCTCCTCTTCTCGTCCCTCCACGGCGGCATCACCCTCTGGGACATGCGTGCCACGCGCCCCGCCTTCTCGCTGCACCTGCACGCCTCCCTGGGGGCACCTGCCCACGTGCTCTCCGACCCGCTGCACGGGCTCTGGCTGCTGGCCGCCTCATCCCGCTCCGCCCTCTGCCTGTGGGACGTGCGCTTCCTGCTCCCCCTCTCCTCCTGGCTCCTCCCCTCCGCCCCTCCTCCCCTCACCTGCCCCCCATTACCGCCCTCGCCCCCATGCTGCCCGCGCCCTTCCCCCCTTCGATGGACGCCACGGCAGCCACAGCAGCAGGCGGGCCGGAGCACCTGCCAGGGTGGTTTGGGGCGGACCCAGGGAGGGGGGGGACGGGGGGAGGTGAGGGGCGGCAGGGAGGGGCAGTGGGGGCAGCAGGGGGGGGTGCAGCTGCGGAGGGGTTGGTGGGGAGTACGTCGCTGCCTCTGGTGTATGTGGCGAGTGGCAGAGACGAGGTCAGCCTGTGGAGCGCCGACACGGGGCAGTGCCACCAGGTACAGTGCCAAAACTTATACAGTACATTACGTTCCGTTCCTGCCATTGAATTCCGTTTCTTTAAGTTGTAAGATGTTACCGAAAAGGGTTCATTCGGCTGTGTATTTAAATTAGACTACCTCAACGTCGCATTCCCGTGTGGTGAGTTCCAGATTCAGGTACTCAGTTGTACTTACTAGAGCCCCCCCACTCCCTCTTCCTCCCTCCCCTCCCCCCCTCCCTGCAGGTCTTCTCTGTGGCGCCCCAGCCCTCTGCCAACCCCGCCGCCTCCTCCCCCTCTCTCCCGTCGCCCTCCAACCTCCCCTCCGCCCTGCAATCCGCCCCTCACCTGCTGCCCCTGCCGCCCTTCTCCATCTCCACCACCACCACCACCGGCCGCACCCTCTCCTCCTCGCCCTGCATGCCTCCCGGGCGACTGCCGCAGTCATCCCAGTCAACGCGGTCAATGCAGTCAACGCAGTCAGCCCTGCGGGTGGAGCAGCTGAAGGAGCCTCCCATCCGGGCAGGGGGGGTGCGGGCGCTGCTGGCGGTGCCGGGGGGCGGTGCTGTGCTGAGTGGCGGCACAGACTGCTGCATCCGCTACTGGTGCCGCCTCAGGTGAGGGGCCCTGCTCATGGCGCGGCTCAGGGCAGGTCTATGGAGGCACTGCCACAGCATCACCTGACTCTCCTTCGTGCATCCCCCTGCCCGTCCATCTTGTGTGCTCATGTATTGACCCGACTGCACTTAACGAATCTCCTCGCATTCCTCCTCTCCGTTGCTTTCAGGCCAGAGCAGAGTGGGTGGGTGTGTGGGGCCCACAGCCAAGGGTGCGCGGGGAGAGATCCTGCATCCGCGATACGACATGCGCATCGTGCAGGGCACGAGAGTCATACAGGTGCGTGCGTGCATGGACAGGCTTTCTTCTCCCGGCGAATTGCCAGGCAGTGGCTGCCGACAGTCCCACTCTCTCAGTGTGATCGGCATATCCACCCCACTTCACCTGTCCATGCCCATCCCTGTCGCTCTGCCTCGCCCCACCGCAGGAAACCCCGCCCCCCTTCTCCCTCGAAACGTCTCGTCTTCGCGCCACCAGTGCAGCAGCGGGCCAGCACGGAGTCGGGCGGGGCAGTAGCAGGCAGTCAGGGGCAGGTGGACAGGGGCAGCGGAGGGGGAGGGGGAGGGGGGCGGCGCAGCATGGTGGAGGTGGCAGCGGTGGACGCGGGGGGGTGCCACTGCGATGCCGTGCTGGCGCTGGCTGTGGCCGACCCGGGGCAGCGCTTGCTGCTGTCTGCCAGCAGGGACGGGGGTCGTCAAGGTCTGGCGCTAGCGGCCCGGGCTACCACAAGGCAAGAGGCATGAGTCACAGCGTGAGTAGCCTTTGTACAAAAGCACTTCATAAAGGCACGGTAGGTGCGAATAGAGTTCTTTTATTAGAGCAAGTGTAGGATTGTTGCCATGAACCTGTTCTCCAGCATATTAACGTTGGTCTGGTTATTTCTAGTCATTGTAGATTGTTTTTCTTAGTGCCCCCATTCTTCATTTGATGACGTTTCTGTCTATATACACAGTGCCCGCCAAAAAGGAGGTTTTGTTAGGGGACGTTGTGGGTGGGTTATTGCAAAATGTGTAACCTCCAATTTGGATGATTACAGACGATAAGCATATGGTGAATGGCTACACTTGTATTTGCCGCAGCAGTTTATTTTTGATTGGAGGGGAAGAGGAGAGGGGTTGACAATCGGCAACCGTGGCGATTCGCCTGAACATGTCATTCCACGTCGATGCCACGTCACATCGACGTGCTTGTCAAAGACGAACACCTTCCAGTTTCCGAACACATCTTTTACCGCGGCACTCTGTAGCGTGGGCAGAAATCGCGGACAATGCAACCGTCGTTCTGCTCACTCTGCGACCGTCAGACTGCGAGCAGGAGTATCTGCTGCCGTCGTCCTACATCCAGCAGCCCTCCCGTTGCTCGCTCCCCTCCCCTCCTCTGAAGCTGCCATTAGTGCCAGACTGAACCCCTCACTCTACTAGCCCCCCAGCGGAATTCTACCACCGCCGTAGCCAGCACTCCACGCGTAGGCCAGCAGCAACCAGCGCCAGCAGCAGCCGCCGCCACCAGGGACGCCAGGAAGAGCCGCCACCAGCCGGAGCGATGGCTGTGTGCGTGCGCGCCGGCACGGCGAGGAGCCGTTGCGAGCCGAAGCTGCTTGCTGGCGCGCCACCGCCATGCGACCGCCGCCGTGTCGGCTGACGCCGAGCTTTCGCCCATCCCTGCCGGCAGTCCGTTTTTCTCCCTTTCCACCCAATCAGCTTCCGCCATCTGTCCATCCGCCGCGCCAACTTCAGCCGCCGCCGTTTCCGCCGTGCCGTCAAACACCGCCAGCCCCGCCAGCCCAGCCAGCCCCGCCAGCCCTGCTAGCCCCGCTAGCCTCGCCATCCCCGCCGGCCGCCGGTCGTTCTCCGTCGTTCCCCGCGTGGCCACGAGTGGCGGCGACCGCGGACGTGGGCGGAGCTGCGTTCCGCTTGCGCGAGCAGGCGATGGAGCGACTGCTGGGCGAAGCTGCGACGGGCGACGGACTCTGTAGGTCGCACACGAGTCAGGCGACACCTACCGTAGGTCGCACAGGAGTCGGGCGACACTTACTGTAAGGTCGCACACAGATGATGCGAGGGTCAAGTGAGGGAGGCTTGGCGAGGCGGGCCAGCTGGGGGGAGGTGAGGCGAGGGAGGGAAAGCAGGGAGGGTGCTCCTGCTTAGAATCGAGTCAGAGAGCCCCTGCATTCCCATGGCATCCCATGGCATCCCATGTCATCCCATGTTCATCCCATGGCATCCCATGGCATCCCATGGCATCCCATGTCATCCCATGGCATCCCATGGCAATCCCATGATCATCCCATGGCATCCATGGATCCCATGGCATCCCATGGCATCCCATGGCATCCCATGGCATCCCATGTCATCCCATATCATCCCATGGCATCCCATGTCATCCCATGGCATCCCATGGCATCCCATGTCATCCCATGTCATCCCATGTCAAGCCATGTCATCCCATGTTATCCCATGTCATCCCATGTCATCCCATTTCATCCCATGTCATTCCATGTCATCCCATGTCATCCCATGGCATCCCATGGCATCCCATGGCATCCCATGTCATCCCATGTCATCCCATGTTATCCCATGTCATCCCATGTCATCCCATTTCATCCCATGTCATCCATGTCATCCCATGGCATCCCATGTCATCCCATGGCATCCCATGTCATCCCCTGTCATCCCATGGCATCCCGTGGCATCCCATGGCATCCCATGTCATCCCATGTCATCCCATGTCATCCCATGTCATCCCATGTCATCCCATGTCATCCCATGGCATCCTGTGGCATCCCATGGCATCCCATGTCATCCCATGTCATCCCATGTCATCCCATGTCATCCCATGGCATCCCATGGCATCCCATGGCATCCCATGTCATCGCATGGCATCCCATGTCATCCCATCGCATCCCACCCATGCCGCCGCACCCGTCCGCCTCACCAGGTGCTGCAGGGCGGGGGCCCAAGGCGGTGCAGCGGCACCACAGCAGAGGCAAGCTGCTGCCCGAGAGCGCATCGACCGCCTGCTCGACCCCGCCTCGCCCTTCCTCGAACTCTCACAGGTCACCGCCCCTCCCCTCCCTCCCCTGTCGCTCGCCCCCTCCCCTCACTGAGTACCCCCTGCCCTCATTCCCCTGCCTCTCTATCTCTTTTCCAGTCTAAGTCACTCCCATGCCTCTCACGCTCAGCTGGCGGGCACGGCGCGTGCGAGGAGAGGTGGACTCTGAGTCGACTCAAAACACTCCCTCTCTCCCCTTCCCCTCCCCTCCCCTCCCCTCCCTGCCTCTCCCCCCCCAGCTGGCGGGCATGGGGGTCTATGAGGAGGAGGTGCCGGGGGGGCATTGTGACGGGCATAGGGCGGGTGGGCGGGCGGGTGAGTGTGATAGTGGCGAACGATCCTACAGTGAAGGGCGGCACGTACTACCCCATCACGGTGAAGAAGCACCTCAGGGCGCAGGAGATCGCCGCCCAGTGCCGCCTACCCTGCATTTACCTCGTTGACAGGTAAGCCTGCCCTGGATCTATCTCGTTGACAGGTACAGCCTGCCTGATCCATTCTCAAGTGCTGATTCCTGCTTTCATGCCATAAGTTCAACGTGTTCTCTCTCTCCATATACAACGTGTTCTCTCTCTCCATATACAACGTGTTCTCTCTCTCCATATACAACGTGTTCTCTCTCTCCATATACAACGTGGTCTCTCTCTCCATATACAACGTGTTCTCTTTCTCCATATACAACGTGTTCTCTCTCTCCATATACAACGTGTTCTCTCTCTCCATATACAACGTTTTCTCTCTCTCCATATACAACGTGTTCTCTCTCTCCATATACAACGTGTTCTCTCTCTCCATATACAACGTGGTCTCTCTCTCCATATACAACGTGTTCTCTTTCTCCATATACAACGTGTTCTCTCTCTCCATATACAACGTGTTCTCTCTCTCCATATACAACGTTTTCTCTCTCTCCATATACAACGTGTTCTCTCTCTCCATATACAACGTGTTCTCTCTCTCCATATACAACGTGTTCTCTCTCTCCATATACAACGTGTTCTCTCTCTCCATATACAACGTGTTCTCTCTCTCCATATACAACCCTCTCCCGCTCGCCCCTTCAATCCCTCGTCTCAGTGGAGGCGCCAACCTGCCCCGCCAGGCGGACGTGTTTCCCGACCGCGACCACTTCGGCCGCATCTTCTACAACCAGGTCCGCCCTGCGCCCACTGCCCTCTCACCTCTACTCCACATGTCACTTCCCCGCCGCCTTCACCACCACCCCTTACGCCTTCATCCAGCTCTCAGGCAGAACATATCGCGTGGCAGGGCTGGTATCATATCATGCGTGGCAGGGCTGGTATCATATCATGCGTGGCAGGGCTGGTATCATATCATGCGTGGCAGGGCTGGTATCATATCATGCGTGGCAGGGCTGGTATCATATCATGCGTGGCAGGGCTGGTATCATATCACGCGTGGCAGGGCTGGTATCATATCACGCGTGGCAGGGCTGGTATCATATCATGCGTGCTGCATGCTCCTGACTGAATGCGACCGTTTCTTCATTCACCCACTTGCCATTCTCTCTCGCTCTCTCCTTCTCCCACCCCCACCAGGCGCGCATGTCGCGGGACGGCATCCCGCAGATAGCGGTGGTGCTGGGCAGCTGCACGGCAGGGGGGCGTACGTGCCGGCCATGGCGGACGAAAGCATCATCGTGCACCGCCAGGGCACCATCTTTCTTGGGGGGCCGCCGCTCGTCAAGGTGTGCCCCTCTCTCCCCTCTTCTCAAGGTGCCCCTCTCTCCCCTCATGTCGTGGTATCCCTGGCAGTCCATAGGGCCCGCCCCTTGTCACCGTGCCTCTCTCCCCCTCTCCCTCTAGCGCGGCGTGGACGGCACAGGAACAGTGCACCCTGGTAAGCACCAGATGCACACCAGGCTGAACGAGAGCCAAGGTGTTGTGACAGTAGGCTGGTGGGAGGGAGTGGTCCGAGTGAAGGGGGGCAAGGGAGCGGGAAGAGGGGGTTGCAGGCAGAGCAGTGGAGGGGCGGCTATGAGGCAAGTGGCGGGGTAGCGGCACGTGGGTGGCGTGATGGCGCCCCACCCACGATTCTGCGTTGGCACGGGAGGGCCTCAGGACGCCTGTGTTGCCACTGCAGTGTGCGCGTGAAGCAGGGTGTGTGTGCGGATGGGAATGGTGGTGCTCATGTGCTGATGAGTGCCTGTGCGTCTGTCTCTGCATGTCTCTGCATGTGTGCGTGCATGTGCATGTGTGTGCATGTGTGCGTGCATGTGCGTGCATGTGTGTGCATGTGCGTGCATGTGTGTGCATGTGCGTGCATGTGTGTGCATGTGTGCGCATGTGTGTGCATGTGTGTGTTGTGCACGCGTGACTCATCCCAGGCGGCCACAGAGAGGAGGTGACAGCGGAGGCGTTGGGGGGGCGCGGTGCACAGCAGAGTGTCGGGTGTCACGGACCACCTCGCCAGAGGTGAGGACAGATGCGTGTGTCATCAGGAGAGCTTCGTAGTGAGAGGTGAGAGACCCCTGGACGAGAGGAGTGGTCGTGTGATGCGCGACCTTGCTTTTCCTCCCTGGTTCCTGTCGGGCGCGCTTCTCTGCAGCGAAGTCACTTTTGAGTCTCTGTAACTCAAAGCTTGTCTGCTTCCCTTCTGAGGCGCGTCTCTCACCCGAGTGAGTAGCGTGTGGGGAGAGATCAACGGTGCCGGCTAGAGCCCAAGCTGTGATGGCAGGTGGTGTTGTCGCACCCTCGAGACTTCCTTGATAGCGCTCGTGCCGGCAGCACCGGTGGTGGCAGAAACGTGGTGGTGGTAGGGGAGATGAGCTGTTGAGTGGTCAGATGTTCCGAGTGGTGCATGGAGTGTGGTGCATGAGTGTGGTGCATGGAGTGTGGTGCATGGAGTGTGGTGCATGGAGTGTGGTGCATGGAGTGTGGTGCATGGAGTGTGGTGCATGGAGTGTGGTGCATGGAGTGTGGTGCATGGAGTGTGTGCATGGAGTGTGGTGCATGGAGTGTGGTGCATGGAGTGTGTGCATGGAGTGTGGTGCATGGAGTGTGGTGCATGGAGTGTGGTGCATGGAGTGTGGTGCATGGAGTGTGGTGCATGGAGTGTGGTGCATGGAGTGGGTGCATGGAGTGTGGTGCATGGAGTGTGGTGCATGGATGTGGTGCATGGAGTGTGGTGCATGGAGTGTGGTGCATGGAGTGTGGTGCATGGAGTGTGGTGCATGGAGTGTGGTGCATGGAGTGTGGTGCATGGAGTGTGGTGCATGGAGTGTGGTGCATGGAGTGTGGTGCATGGAGTGTGGTGCATGGAGTGTGGTGCATGGAGTGTGGTGCATGGAGTGTGGTGCATGGAGTGTGGTGCATGGAGTGTGGTGCATGGAGTGTGGTGCATGGAGTGTGGTGCATGGAGTGTGGTGCATGGAGTGTGGTGCATGGAGTGTGGTGCATGGAGTGTGGTGCATGGAGTGTGGTGCATGGAGTGTGGTGCATGGAGTGTGGTGCATGGAGTGTGGTGCATGGAGTGTGGTGCATGGAGTGTGGTGCATGGAGTGTGGTGCATGGAGTGGTGCATGGAGTGTGGTGCATGGAGTGTGGTGCATGGAGTGTGGTGCATGGAGTGTGGTGCATGGAGTGTGGTGCATGGAGTGTGGTGCATGGAGTGTGGTGCATGGAGTGTGGTGCATGGAGTGTGGTGCATGGAGTGTGGTGCATGGAGTGTGGTGCATGGAGTGTGGTGCATGGAGTGTGGTGCATGGAGTGTGGTGCATGGAGTGTGGTGCATGGAGTGTGGTGCATGGAGTGTGGTGCATGGAGTGTGGTGCATGGAGTGTGGTGCATGGAGTGTGGTGCATGGAGTGTGGTGCATGAGTGTGGTGCATGGAGTGTGGTGCATGGAGTGTGGTGCATGGAGTGTGGTGCATGGAGTGTGGTGCATGGAGTGTGGTGCATGGAGTGTGGTGCATGGAGTGTGGTGCATGGAGTGTGGTGCATGGAGTGTGGTGCATGGAGTGTGGTGCATGGAGTGTGGTGCATGGAGTGTGGTGCATGGAGTGTGGTGCATGGAGTGTGGTGCATGGAGTGTGGTGCATGGAGTGTGGTGCATGGAGTGTGGTGCATGGAGTGTGGTGCATGGAGTGTGGTGCATGGAGTGTGGTGCATGGAGTGTGGTGCATGGAGTGTGGTGCATGGAGTGTGGTGCATGGAGTGTGGTGCATGGAGTGTGGTGCATGGAGTGTGGTGCATGGAGTGTGGTGCATGGAGTTGGTGCATGGGGTGCATGGAGTGTGGTGCATGGAGTGTGGTGCATGGAGTGTGGTGCATGGAGTGTGGTGCATGGAGTGTGGGTGCATGGGGTGTGGTGCATGGAGTGTGGTGCATGGAGTGTGGTGCATGGAGTGTGGTGCATGGAGTGTGGTGCATGGAGTTGTGTGGTGCATGGAGTGTGGTGCATGGAGGTGTGGTGCATGGAGTGTGGTGCATGGAGTGTGGTGCATGGAGTTGTGGTGCATGGAGTGTGGTGCATGGAGTGTGGTGCATGGAGTGTGGTGCATGGAGTGTGGTGCATGGAGTGTGGTGCATGGAGTGTGGTGCATGGAGTGTGGTTGCATGGGAGTGTGGTGCATGGAGTGTGGTGCATGGAGTGTGGTGGCATGGAGTGTGGTGCATGGAGTGTGGTGCATGGAGTGTGGTGCATGGATGGTGCATGGAGTGTGGTGCATGGAGTGTGGTGCATGGAGTGTGGTGCATGGGAGTGTGGTGCATGGGAGTGTGGTGCATGGGAGTGTGGTGCATGGAGTGTGGTGCATGGAGTGTGGTGCATGGAGTGTGTGCATGAGTGTGTGCATGGAGTGTGGTGCATGGAGTTGGTGCATGGAGTGTGGTGCATGGAGTGTGGTGCATGGAGTGTGGTGCATGGAGTGTGGTGCATGGAGTGTGGTGCATGGAGTGTGGTGCATGGAGTGTGGTGCATGGAGTGTGGTGCATGGAGTTGTGCATGGAGTGGGGGGTGGTGCATGGAGTGTGGTGCATGGAGTGTGGGATGGGGTGTGGGCTGGAGTGTGTGCATGGAGTGTGGTGCATGGAGTGTGGTGCATGGAGTGTGGTGCATGGAGTGTGGTGCATGGAGTGTGGTGCATGGAGTGTGGGTGGTGCATGGAGTTGTGGTGCATGGAGTGGTATGCATCAGTGGTAGACCCGGTCTCACTACACTATGTGCATGTACATGGTGAGTGCATGTTGCATGTGCACACCCATGTGCGTTTGCATGTCATGTGCATGCTCATGGGCATGTGCATTCCCACATCGAGGTACGCATCATGGTATGTCTCACGATCTACCCACTTCTTGTCTCATTCCGCAGACTTATAATCTTGCTCTCCTCCCACCTCACTCACCCCCCCTCCTCTCCCCTGCGCCCAGACGAGTCGCATGCCATTGCCATCGCCAGGCGCATACTCGCCTCGCTGCCCTCCTCCCACCCCTCCTCCTCATCCGCGCCTCAAGCAGCCCCACTCCCCCCCTCCCCCGCCGCCCCCCCTGCGTGGGAGGAGCCTCTTTTCCCCCCCGAGCAGCTGAGGGGGCTGGCGCCCATAGTGGGGGGGGAGGGGCGCAAGGGGAAGGGCAGGGGGCGGCGGAGGAGGGGGCGGCGGAGGCGGGGGGGGTGGACATGCGGGAGGTGATAGCGCGGCTGGTGGACGGCAGCCGGTTTGACGAGTTCAAACGCCTCTATGGCTCGGTGGGTGGGTGGACGAGTTGGTGCGTTTTGAGATGTCTCAAAACTAAACTACTTACCATTGAGTTGGTGCGTTGGCTCGATGGGTGATGCCAATGCTTGGTGTGTGGGCTGGTTGGACGGACTGGGCCTTGCTGCGAGCTGTTTCGGCTCGTCCCATCCCACCACTGCAGCAGTGATTCACATCACGCTCCACATTGCCACCAGTCGGCACCATCAGCCACCACCAATCAGTTTCTCAACCTTTCACACTCCAGCTCTCAGATTCCCGCTTTTCTGTGTGATGGTAATTTCGTTTTGAGTCGACTCAAAGCAGTTTCTCATCCTTGCATGCTCCAGCTCTCAGACTCCCACTTTCCCTTCACCCTAACATCTCCTCACGTCCACCATCCCCACGCGCCCCTTCCCTCCTCCCAAGCCAGTCGCTGGTGTGTGGCTTTGCTCGCCTGCACGGGCAGGCGGTGGGCATAGTGGCGAACAACGGCGTGCTGTTCGTGGAGTCGGCGCTGAAAGGGGCGCACTTTGTGCAGCTCTGCGACCAGCGCCGCACCCCGCTGCTCTTCCTGCACAACATCTCCGGCTTCATGGTGGGGTGGCATGGCTCACGGCACATGGCACATGGCACATGGCACATGGCACATGGCACATGGCTCACGGCATATGGCACATGGCACATGGCTCATGGCACATGGCACATGACACATGGCACATGGCACATGGCTCATGGCTCATGGCACATGGCACATGGCTCATGGCTCATGGCTCATGGCTCATGGCTCATGGCTCATGGCTCATGGCACTGGGTGGGGGTGATGGTGGTGTTGTGCTGGTGGCCATGACACGCTGTGCTTCGTGGTGATGCGATTCATGCTCCATCAGGGTTGGCAGGCGTGTTGCACCAACAGCATGCATGTGAGTCCCCATGCCATGTGTGCGTGCATGTGAGTCCCCGTGCCATGTGTGCGTGCATGTGAGTCCCCATGCCATGTGTGCGTGCATGTGAGTCCCCATGCCATGTGTGCGTGCATGTGAGCCCCCGTGCCATGTGTGCGTGCATGTGAGTCCCCATGCCATGTGTGCGTGCATGTGAGTCCCCATGCCATGTGTGCGTGCATGTGAGTCCCCATGCCATGTGTGCGTGCATGTGAGTCCCCATGCCATGTGTGCGTGCATATGAGTCCCCATGCCATGTGTGCGTGCATGTGAGTCCCCATGCCATGTGTGCGTGCATGTGAGTCCCCATGCCATGTGTGCGTGCATGTGAGTCCCCATGCCATGTGTGCGTGCATGTGAGTCCCCATGCCATGTGTGCGTGCATATGAGTCCCCATGCCATGTGTGCGTGCATGTGAGTCCCCATGCCATGTGTGCGTGCATGTGAGTCCCCATGCCATGTGTGCGTGCATGTGAGTCCCCATGCCATGCGTGCGTGCATGTGAGTCCCCATGCCATGCGTGCGTGCATGTGAGTCCCCATGCCATGTGTGCGTGCATATGAGTCCCCATGCCATGTGTGCGTGCATGTGAGTCCCCATGCCATGTGTGCGTGCATGTGAGTCCCCATGCCATGTGTGCGTGCATGTGAGTCCCCATGCCATGTGTGCGTGCATGTGAGTCCCCATGCCATGTGTGCGTGCATGTGAGTCCCCATGCCATGTGTGCGTGCATATGAGTCCCCATGCCATGTGTGCGTGCATGTGAGTCCCCATGCCATGTGTGCGTGCATGTGAGTCCCCATGCCATGTGTGCGTGCATGTGAGTCCCCATGCCATGCGTGCGTGCATGTGAGTCCCCATGCCATGTGTGCATGCATGTGTGGTACTCCCACTTGAACCTATTCGCTCCTCTCCTTGCCCCTGTGTCGGCAGGTGGGGCGGTCGGCAGAGAGTGCGGGCATTGCCAAGGCAGGAGCCAAGATGGTGATGGCCGTGGCATGCGCACAGGTATGGCATGCGCACAGGTATGGCATGCGCACCGGTATGTGCATGCCATGTGTTCTCCATGCTTCCATCGTTTTGCATGAGCACATCTCACATGCGAATGGGAGCCTCACTGCAGAGCACCTCTCACGTCCTCCGCTGTCGCCCACATCTTCCCCCGTCCCTCTCCACCAGCCTCTCTCCCACCTGCTCTATTCCCACCCTCACCTCTCCCCCCTCCCCAGGTTCCCAAGATCTCGATGGTGGTGGGCGGCAGCTTTGGCGCGGGCAACTACGGCATGTGCGGCCGCGCCTACTCGCCCGGCTTCCTCTTCCTCTGGCCCTCCGCTCGCATCTCAGTCATGGGCGGCCAGCAGGTGAGCATGGGCGACCAGCAGGTGAGGATGGGCGGCCAGCAGGTGAGCATGGGCGGCCAGCAGGTGAGCATGGGCGGCCAGCAGGTGAGGATGGGCGGCCAGCGGGTGAGGATGGGCGGCCAGCAGGGGAGGAGTGGCAAGTGGTGACACAGTGTGCTGTCGCTCATCGCTTTGCCTGCACCCACTCACCGCCTTTTTCCTTAACTACTCTTCCCGAATGACTTCCTTCTTTTTGCCATGTCATTCTTGGTTTTGCATGGCTTGGCGTGGCATTCGTGGCATGGCATTCATGGCATGGCATGGCATGGCATGGCATTCATGGCATGGCATGGCACGATGGCAGGCGGCAGGGGTGTTGGCCCAGGTTGAGAAGGACAAGAGAGCTCGTGATGGCAAACCGGTAAGAGAAGCTGACTTCTCTCCTTCTCCCGTGCACCCGTGCACCCATCCTCCCAAGCACCCGTGCACCCATCCTCCCAAGCACCCGTGCACCCATACTCCCAAGCACCCCTCCCCCCATGCACCCATCCGCCCATGCCAAGCAGTTTCATGATCCACCTACTCCCTGTACTGCTCATGCCTCTGCTGTCTGTCTGCGCTGCTGCTCAGTGGAGCGAGCAGGAAGAGCGTGCCTTCAAGCAGCGCATCGCGGCGCGCTACGACAGCGAGGGCTCGTCGTTCTTCTCGACGGCCCGCCTGTGGGACGATGGCATCATCGACCCCGCTGACTCGCGCACCGTGCTCTCCCTTGCCCTCACTGCTGCTGCCAACGCAACGCCCGCTGCACAGACACCTGCTGAGGCTGGTCCCAGATATGGAGTGTTCCGCATGTGACTTGGAGATGTCTGCGCATGGCATATTGACATGGTTGTATAGTTTTACTCTGCTCGGTCCAGCGCTTAATTTCGGCGCCGTTGCGAGGCGGCCTGGCTACAATAAGTGTTTCCAGTTGCTTGTACCGACTGTGTCCCTGTACACTTACCTGCTTGTACATAGAGCTTATGCTTATGCTTCTGACAGCTGTTATCGTATCATCTCAATATTCAATGCAGCAGTTCCTGGAGGTTCTTGTCAGTGTGCAGGTGTACATAAAAGTGTACTATTGAAGACAACATCTGCAGAATATTCTACACAAACAAAAGCTCCTGTTTCATGCCTCCAATGAAGCCTTCTTCACCATAGGCATCTTTACACATCCCTCTCTCGCTTAGTCAGATTGTCAGGCAAACCAACTTGCCTTACCTTGGCCCACTTTGCTTCCCTCCGCGTGCTCCCTTCTCAGTCAGTCATCTATGGGCCTGCTGCTCCTCACTCTCTCTTTCCACATTTCGCCCCGTGCCTCCCACACCTCACACGCACCCTCACCTCGCCCTCCACTTCGTATCTCGCCTTTTAGCCTCCTCCTCCCAGTTCCCTCCTGCACCACTTCTTGCCTTCCACCAGCTCTGCCGGAAGCAGACATGGACAGTCAGTGCCCACTCCTTCCCCGCCCCCCTCTCACCTCTCCCTCCTCCGCAGCAGTGCCCAACCCAGGCCATGAGTACGCCCTAGCAAGCGCAGTTGGGAATCAGGATGGCGAACTGCCCCAGCTTTCTACACCCATCCCTCTCCCTCTCCCTCTCCCTTAATCTCTCCCACACATCCCTCTTTTACTCCACAAAACCCCCCTCTCCCTGCCTGTTACCCTCCCCTCGCAGCAGCTGGGCTTGCCGCACCCCTTGGGCAGTTTTGAGACGTCTCAAAGCTCGCCTCCCCTTTCATGCCACCAAGCCCCTCTCCCCATGCCTGCTCTCCTTCCCTCAGCAGCAGCCGGGCTTGGGGCATCCCTTGGGAAGGGGCAGGCGCAGGTTGGCACCGGTGCGGAAGGTGCGAGGAACCACCCTGTCCACGTACAGCAGCCCTGCCAGGTGGTCGCACTCGTGCTGGTGGTCGTGTGGCGTGGCGTGGTGTGGTGTGGTCCAGTGTGGTGTGGTGCGGTGTGGTGTGGTGTGGTGCGGTGTGGTGTGGTGTGGTGTGGTGTGGTGTGGTGTGGTGTGGTGTGGTGTGGTGTGGTGTGGAGGTGCAGCCACAGGGAGTTCAGGGGGAGAGCATAGGGAGGGGGGGGGGGTTGGGACTCGAGGGATGAACGGAGAGAACAGCCAGCAGCTTTGTATACCAGGGGGAAAGATTGAAAATGGGAGAGCATACATCTGTGATACTCGAAATAGAAGGCGTCTGCTGAGTGCCTTTCTGGCCATCAGGCTCGTTCATGACTCAACTCCTCTTGAACTGTCCAATGAAACGTACAAATGTTTTGCTGTCGTCACCACCACAAGAGCAGCCCCACCCACCCACCTGCAGGATTCTGGCCTGCCAGCCTGTGGCGTGCACGGTGAGGGGCTTGCCATCCCTGCCCAGCCCTGTGACCTCCACCTCCAGGTGCCGCTCCACCATGCCGCGGTACCCGTTCACACTGCACAGGCATGCAGGGAGGAAAGGCATGGGGAGTGAAGGGCATGTGAGGAAAGGTACTTCGAGTTGGCCTCGCCACCCCACAGTGCAGCAGTGACAGAGAAGGGGAGGCAAGAATGAAGGGCAATCGTCTTTCGGATAAACTAAAGTGGCGTTTTTCCATCCACCACTATGTCTGCCATGCCTCGCTACCCGTCCACACTGCAGTGGCAAGGGAGGAGTGGAGGCGCGGCGGGTGAGAGGTTGAGGGCGGAGAGAGGCTGAGGGCGGAGAGAGGCTGAGGGCGGAGAGAGGCTTAGGGCGGAGAGAGGCCGAGGGCGGAGAGAGGCTGAGGGCGGAGAGAGGCTGAGGGCGGAGAGAGGCTGAAGGCGGAGAGAGGCTGAGGGCGGAGAGAGGCTGAGGGCGGAGAGAGGCTGAGGGCGGAGAGAGGCTGAGGGCGGAGAGGAATTCCGAGCATGAAGAGTTTTTTTTCGGGACAGTGGCGTGATAGGCAGAAAGCAACAAAGAAGAGACATGTGGGTGTGAGGAGAAAGGCGATTAGATTTAGAGTGGGCATGGGCAGGACGAGTCGTGCAGGAGACACAGGGAACACGTGGCGGGGACGAGGGAGAAAGAGAGGCAATGAGAGAGGGCACAGAGGGACGCTGAGGGACGCTGAGGGACGCTGAGGGACGCTGAGGGAATCTGAGGGAAGCTGAGGGAAGCTGAGGGAAAGGAGAAAGGTGAGAAGGCGGAGGATGGAAATGCGGTGATCGGGGAAGGGGAAGGAGGGGAAGGAGGGAGGGAGACGAGCACCTGAGGCAGCCTTCAAAGAACCGTGCCTTGCTGTCCCCCACTGGCTTGAGCACCGGGTTGATGATCACCTGCAGCATTGGCACGCAGAGATGGGCAGAGAGTATTTTGAGTCAACTCAAAATGCACCCAGATGATCTCCTGCGGCAATTCACAGCGCAACAAAACGAGCGGTTTTTGAGTCGACTAAAAAATCAATCCACAGAGCAACAACACGAGCATCACCTGCAGGAGGACCTTGTGGTGCCAAGTGCAACAAAAAGAACATCACCACGAGATGGACAGAGCATCGCCACCGGAGGGGCAGAGCGATGCCTACAGGAGAATGGATAATGGAGAATGGTGAATGTTGAATGGTGCTACAAGGCTGTAACGCAGCAGGCGAGAAGCAGACTTGGCCTTGCGCAAAAGAAGGGGCTGCTCATTCATTCCATTCAGTTCGGCCGCCTTGAAGGCGCGCTGAAGGTCCATCAGCTGAGAGATTTGGTTCAGTCGCCACCAAGAAGTTCAGCTGAAGGCCGGTCGCTCACTCACCCATTCCCTCACTCACTACTCGTTCCCACACTCACTCATTCACTCGTTCCCACACTCACTCATTCACTCGTTCCCACACTCACTCATTCACTCGTTCCCACTCACTCATTCACTCGTTCCCACACTCACTCATTCACTCGTTCCCACACTCACTCATTCACTCGTTCCCACACTCACTCATTCACTCGTTCCCACACTCACTCATTCACTCACTCCCTCACTCACTCACTCACTCATTCACTCGTTCCCACAGTCACTCATTCACCCATTCATTCATTCACCCATTCATTCATTCACCCATTCATTCATTCACATTCATTCATTCATTGCCCAGCGCGCGTACCAGCAGGTTGAACGGCTTCCTCTCCTGCTGCTTGACGTCCTCCTGGTCGCACACGCGCATCAGCTCCACCGTGTCCTCCAGCACGATGATCTGCGCCGTGCCCACCACACCCCCACACACACGCAGGGGCCGTGGGCAGTCGGGAAAGGCATAAAGTGATGGCGTATGTTGCTTGACTTACCAGATATGGACTGCATTTCAAGACTCGAGCACCTGGCTGTTGTTTAGGAATGCTGTACTACTGCCATACCTGACTGCCAGACAGCCATACCTGACTGCCAGACGGCCATACCTGACTGCCAGACAGCCATATCTGACTGCCAGACTGTCGTAACTGACTGCCAGACTGCCATACCTGACTGCCAGACTGCCGTTCTTGACTGCCAGACTGCCACACCTGGCTGCCATACCTGACTGCCATAGCTGACTGCCAGACTGTCATACCTGACAGCCAGACTGCTGCCATAACTGATGACCATAGCTGACTGCCAGACTGTCATACCTGGCTGCCATACCCGACTGCCATAACTGACGGGCATACCTGACCGCCTTACCTGATTCCATACCTGGCTGCCTTACCTGCAGCGGGTGGCCAATCTGGTTGGCTGCCAGGCCGACACCTGGCGCTGCTCGCATGACCGCCACCATGTCGTTAATGATCTTCTCTATCTCCGGACTGCCTATGTCCTGGTGCCAGGTGGCAAGCACGCGGATAAGACGGGAAGGAGGAGAGGGAGGGGAACAGGGGGAAGAACAGAATAGACAGGTGAAACTATTGCAAAAAGTTGTCAGGCAGAAGGCATCTTGAGTGTCAAGGTGGGAGCATCAGAACTGCCAAGCAGCGGGTGGATGTGGTGCGAAAATGGGAAAGTTGTTTTTCACCTTTTCGTCCGGAACCCCTGAGTAACGCGCGCGGGCAGTAACAAAGTTCGCCGCAGATGCAGTAGCGTAATGATTCACACGGAATGGCTGGCTCACCTCCGCGCGAACTCACCTCCGCGGGCACTCACCTCCGCGGGCACGGGGCGGGCGGGCTCGTGCAGCACGGGGTCGCCCGCCTCCACCACGTCGGGCAGCGTCGGCCGGCCGAACTTGAAAATTGCTTGCGTGGCCACGCCCTTCCCGTCCGCCAGCGACTCATTCCGCGCTGGCGGCGTGCCGGCTAGCCGCGTGTTTGTCGGCGTGGAGGAGAACTGCGACACGTCGCGCAGGTGCGGCACGAAGTCCATTTTCTCCGTCGACGACACCCGCACCATGCGACCCGCCGCGCTGGCTGGCGGACAGCTGATTGGCTGCGATGCTGAAGCCATGACTGGACCACGAGAAAGTCTTGTTATGATAGGACTGCCTCGGGAAGGAGAGTGAGAACAATCTAACGGCAATGCACGACGTAATGACGATGATGATGAGAGGCAATTCGATGCTGGGAGGCGAGAGCAAGCGTTCATCTCAAGAAATGCGATAACCGCTGAAATAGATAAGTCGACGCAGCTCGGACAGCTGTGCGAGGATCTCAGCAAGAGAATGCGAGACCAGGCGGATGCTGCTGTGTAGAAATGTGGCTGGGCAGGAAATTATAGATTCTAGATGCGCTTGGATGGGAGATAGTATGGATTGGTTGGGCTTGCTCGTCAGAGTGAAGCAGAGAGTCACGTGTGCCTTGTTCTCTCAGGACTGAATTGCTGCCTCACCTGCCGGGCCATCTGAGCTGGTGTGGGGACCACAGGAGGGCCTGGTTTCGATTTCGACGTGACGTGGCGAGAAGTTGGCCATGTGGGAGATAGCTCCAATTGGTGAGCAAGTATCGGTTCATACTTCGATGGTGCTGAGTAGGCAGGCTCCGATGCGGTTTATAGGCTTATTCGTGAATGTACAACGATGAAGTTGGCCCTTTCTAAAAGAGCAGAATTTCAATAAAACACATTTCCCAACATCATAGAAATTAAACGAGCCAACAAGCAAACTCTAGTAGAAATTTATTTCTTAGGATTTATGTGATAATTTTACTGATACCATGCATTAATATAAAGCTCGATGTCTCAGATTTAGTTAAGTTTGTGCTACATTATGGTATTTAGGCAAACGGCATTCCAGTATGCATTTTTCTTGCTAATCACATTAGCGAGTATTCTGCCTGTTTATGTGGTCGTTGACTAACGTGTTGAACCATGTCGCATATTTTCAACACCCTGTCGCTGCAGCCTCGCCTCAGAAGGTATCCAATAGCCTCGGCAAACTGATGAGGTCCCAAACAGGGTCCTTGCTAGGATTTAGGGGCATCTGATCTTCAGACCAACTTTTGTGCGTCCGTCTGACCATCAGACGAAAATTTGCCTCTCGTCTGAGTTTTCAGACGAAATTTTCAGGGCTGTCTGACTATTCAGACGAAGTTTACAGGCCTGTCTAATTTCTTCGAATATTAGTCTAGCATACGCATCCTTGGACATAAGTCCTACAGCTTTTAAAGTAGCTGAAATAACGTAACACTCTAAGCCAGAAATACAAGTCAGAAATCAATCTACCATTAAATATGTAACCCAACGACACTACATGACAGCATCTATTCACTTCACTAGCCAGTAGCACTTCAATGGCACGTCATTGACAGTCGGTCGAGCATAGAATCATGCTGACACAGGACTTCACTCATCTTCACTGTCACTTGCAAAGGGGTTGTCCTGCTGCTCCTCTTCACTATCAGAATCCAAGTCAATCGCAGTAGCCTTGCCTCTTGCCTTCCTCCTCCAGTAGGCGACTCCAGGGTTTAGGGCCTCATCTGCCGCTTCTGCTTCGGCCATTGCTGCAGCTTGTCGGGCTGCTGACTCTGCTGCTACTGCTGCTCTCTTCGCTGATCTTGCTGCCTCTGACATCTTCCTCTTCTGCGGGCGTGCCGCTTGTGCCATGACAACCTCCTTTGCCGGCCGCCGCTTTTTCCCTGCCCGCCACCTCTCCACCATCGAGTCCCACTCCATGTCGTAATCGAGGAGAGAAATGGACAGAAGATCCGACAGCTTCGCGTCGCACAGGTTCCCGCAGAGCCAGCTCTTTATTACATTCTGGCGACTGAAACCCCGCTCGCACTCGACAGTGCTCAGAGGAAGCACTGCCACAGCGATCCACAGATGCACCAAGTTCGGGTAGGCCGTCTGCCAGTCAGGGGATCGTAGCATGTTCTTCAGGCCGTCGAGAAATCCGTAGTCATTGCAATGTGTTGACATGATAATCGTAAACTGAGTCAGTTCCTTCTGAGCCTTTGTCCAATTGATGCCTGGAATAAGGGTGGGGCAGGCGCAGGACACGGAGGGGAAATCATGAAGTGAGCACAATTGGGAGATAATTGCAATTGCATAATCAATACATGCGCGAATCAATGGGTTTTGGCAGTGAGGACTGAGGAATGGAGAAACTAGCCGCGGAACAGCTTGCTGTAGTTGAGGGTTCACCAGGCAGGGTATCGGGAGACGAGGGTTCACGCTTGTACAGGTTGCGTAAACCTGTCAGCCACAGTGGAAATCGTCGCTCCCGCTTCTGGATGGTCCGTGGATACGCTCCCTGCCAGAAGAGCTTGGAGCAGTTGAGGGTTTTCAGATCTGCTAAGCGGGAATCAATGCTGTCCAGCAGCCCGAGCACGAACGCAGTTGCCATGGTCATCAGCGACTTCATGTCCCCACCACTGATTTGTCCAGGGAGAGCCTTCTCGTGCAACGTGTAGGTGTGGATGAGTCTGGTGCCATCGCCGTCCACGCCCTCGGCCGTCACCTCGCGGTTATGTGGTGATGAGTGCTTCTTGATGAACTCCACTAGGGCCGTGTTGCCATGACCGAAGGCCTCGCCATAGTTGACGTAGCGGCTGCGCAAAGTTAGCTTGGTGTTGTCCACCATTTGGCAAACGTGGGTGACGTCGACTTGAAGGAAAAGCAAAGAGATGTTAGAAATGAGTCATTTATAAAGCCGCACATCGGGATGCAGTAGCATTTACCTGGAGGCGCTAAAACTTCAGGTTGAGCAGGTTGAGCTCGTTGAGGACATCGGCAAGGAAGTAGAGTAGGAAATGGAATTTCAAGCTAATTACCAAGGTGTACGCCTGCCGGTCATGCTCCGATAGGAGTATGATGGCGGCAGGGAATACCTCGACTAGCCTCTGGATGGCCTCACCTCGGGATAACCATCTGATGTTGTGGATTCCCTGCAACTCCAGGTTCGTCTCTGAGACGACATCCTGGAGCTGCTTGAAACGTGAATGCAAGACAATAGACCTGCCGAGGACCTCTGCAAGTGACTTCACGACCTTGTCAACAATGGTGTGAGAGTACGACCCCGTTACACCAATTTCCTCTTTCCATATTTCCTTTCTATCTCATTCCTCTTTTCATCCTGATTCATTTGGTCTTTATCTTATCTCATTTGGTTTCCTATTCCTCCATTTCCATTATCCTTTGGTTTATCCTGTTATTATGATTATATCACCGACCAGGCTGGGGATGTACTGGCGCTATATCTAGCGTAATCCTGCCGTAATCCCTTAAAGCCAATAGCCTCGCGTGGCTATACGCAGGGTGATTCTATTTCTAGAAGGCTCTATTCCCTTTGGATAGGATAAACCTGGTTACCTGATGTACTCTGGAAGTATAAAAGCCCCTTGTACTGATTGATAGGGGAACATTGAGCAAACCTTTCCTCGGGACATTCGATCCTGTGACACTTGGTAATCAGAGCCAAGGTTTCAGCTCAATGCTTAACCCCTGGGCCCCCAGGAGCACGCGGAGGATGGAGTCGAAACTTCAATTCCTGTAAGTACAATACACTTTCATTTAAGTTTCGACTAACCTCTCGCAGTTGCACCTGGGGTCCCCTTTGCAGGCGAGATGCCTCGCCGACCGTTCGATGGAGTGCATCGACGGTGCCAAGTTTTTCGCGGGGGCAAACGGCCTCGACCTCGCGAACGCGTCAGTTCTGGCGGAACACTCCCTGCGACATTTCGAGGAGTTCGCAGTTCGCGACGACACTCGGAGTTGCGCGGAAATGTGCGGAGCTGCGACCGACGACATCCGTCCGATGGAGATTTGACGCTTCAGATCGACCGAGGCGACTACGAAACCTTCTGAGCGAGTTCGAGTTTCAACGCGAATGGGAACGGGACCTCGCAAGCCGCGAAGTTCTTCGGAGCGTCCGATCGTTCAACAGCCGACATTGACGACCGAGAATTGCTGCATGAAACGAGATCACCCGAGCACGGAAAGCTGATGAACGCGACTCAGGAGTATCCTCAGATCGCTTGGAGTTTGGACCGTCGGATCGACTTCTGCTTCAACGGACGAGATGGAGGGCAAATTCTGCACAAAGGGAGAATGACGCACAGAGCCCACAATTAGCCGCCTTGGACATCGTTGTCATCATCTGGACGACCAAATTCGAATTTGGCGCGCGAATCATCTTTGAAGTCAGAAATCTGCCAGAGTATTACCTACTTGGTAATAGCTGCAGGCAGAAATCTGACAGGAGAACGTGGATCGTCGGATCAGTGCGGAATCAACGACACGAATGCAGCAGAGACTACACTGTGGAAAATCATCATCATGGAGACAACATTCGTGACCAGCGACTGCACAATCGACGCATCTTCTAAGTAGTGTCGATAACGATATACTTATTTTGACGAAATCATCTTCGTTAAAAATGGATCGACATCAACACAGCGGATCTTCACCCAGGAAAAACAATGGAGCTGCGTGAAGACATCTTCTCCATCCATGAGACACTTCTTCTTACAAATTGATCGACAAGCTATGGGATTGCAGAGAAGTAGCCGTTTTCTCTTGCAATGCTCCCAAGTTCAAGTTGTTGCGAAGAAGCAGATTTCGCACGCAACGATGACGCAGTGAACCCGTCTCGTCAAGGCCAGCGAGACACTACTTCGTAACAGGAGCTGAACGATTCGTCTTCATGAAGAATCTCAGCCATCCGAAGTGATTGATTGGAGCAGTCTCAACATCAACCTCACGAGGCGACACACCAATCATGCGTCGTGATTCCATGTGTTAATGACCTGCGTGAAAAATGTTCCGTACATGTCACGATGCTTGACAGATTGAGGAGTAATTAACCTCTAATCCGGCAAGTATTTGTGCACTAGCGACCCTACGGCACATGCATTGGAGGTGATTCTACTTGAAGCCGAAGCGTTACAAGCACCAGCGTAACTTCGACGATGCAGGAGAACGCCAAGCAACACGAGGTGTCAACAAATGAGGGAGATGCGGACTACTACAAGACGATCACGCGCTCTACCGACCGTACATCGGAGGCGCGGATGCGCATACCAGGAATTGCTACCCGTGGATACATTGAGGGGAGAAGCAAGTTTCTCTTCATACACTCAAATGAAACAATCACCGGCAGCAATGGAGCAACACATGTGTACTAATGTGCACGTGTTCCTGGTAGTTACGCCTGTTACACCCATCAGGAACACTCTACTGGGAAGAGGGAGTTGATGGATTCTCCTTCAACCGGTACGAGATGAGAGAATTCTCTGCAGTAGCTGCCGCCGTCGCCATCGTCGCAACCGCCGCCGCCGCCGCAGCAGAAGACTCGACACAACAGTCATATCCAAACCCTGATG